CAAGTTGATCAAGTTGATTTAAACCAGTCTTGCTTCCTAAATGGATAGAAGTAAAGCAAATATGCAGACCAATGACTATAATACGACTTGCATGTTAAGTCATTGAATCATTGAAACATTGAATAGACTTTTAATATAAAAAACAACTCTTTATAATTTATGTGGGGAGACCAACAATTTCTTGAATAGTTACATGACCATTTGAAAGATTAACTGGAGTCATAGATGCCTTAGAACTCTCACTTGAGCTACTATCACAACTATCACTTTTACTATCAGTGCTAGACACTGAACTGTCTTTCCTTTGACTATTTTCACGTCTAGAAGAATATCCCATGTGTTCTGGAGAAGAGCTAGAACTTAAAAGAGGACAACTACATCTGCTCCTATTCCCATTACTTGTACTATCACTGTCCCTTTCGCTATCAACACTTGAAACTGTACTGCCATGTCTTTGAGCTCTTAATGATTCATTTTCTCTCTTTAATTGTTCATTTTGTTGCATTAAATCATCGATCCGTTGTTGACAAATTTTCAATTTTTTTGCTGATTCTGAATCTGTATTACCACTTTTACTTTCCAAATCTCTGTCTTCTGTTTGATGAAAATTTTTGCCACGTAGACGTTTCGTCAATAAGTCTACTTTGGCCTCTAATTGTAGATATTCCTGTATTAATTCTGATTTACTTAATGTACTTAACCTTTCAGCATGAAGATCTTCATATGCTGTTGAGAATTCTTTAGTCAAGAATTCTTCTTCATCTTCTGGGGATGAATAAAAGTAATCTTCATCAGAGTCAACACTGAAACTAGAATCTCTAGTACGAGAAGGGGCTGGTTTTTGAAATGTAGCAGGTAATTCTGATGATACAGCTTCTGAAAGCTTCTGATCGAGATCTGGAAGATCACTGTGATCATCCATTAGAAATTGTGTAGTATTATATGGTGCTGGAGGCTGTCTACCAGTTTTTGCTAATCGACCTCTAGATCTATATCTTAACTGTTGTTGATATGATAATTGCTGTTTCGAATATGGCTTTAATTTTCTATGTTTAGGTTTACCTCTACGAGTTTTTCTTTTTTTTGCTGCAATATCAATTCCATCTTCGTGTTGACCTCCCTCTTGATCTCCACTGCCACTACCACTTTCAAACTTCCCAGAATTTTTTGTTAGTAGTTTGGAACACTGAAACAAAAATATTTCAATTAGTTTTAAATATTTAATTTATCGTATACAAAAAAAGTAGCATTACAAAATTTATTAGAATTAAAAATTTTAATTTTTAATGTTTAAAATAAATCAAAATTCTGTATCTTACAATTTTGTCATTAATATAGTTGCTTTTGTTGATATTTTTGCCAATAGGGAGCGGCACTTGCTCCGAAGCTGGCAACGATGACGCCGCAGGCGTCGGCTCTGCCTGTACGCCCTTCACGTCATGTACTTCATCAATGTCATCCGACACTTTCTCCATTACAGTTTTGCCGTTATGATTATCCATATTTGTAATATTGACTAAAATTCGGCTATTTACAGTGGTACAAGCACTCATTACCGTTAAAAACGCTACCTCATCCACAGATACTCTCTATTCCCGCTTTACGAACCGTACGCCTTCACCGCAAACAGCGACTGAATCGCCATGTTTGATTTATCCGTGATTCCGTACGATAGCGAAGCGCGACGTGCTAACGTTTCGGAGGAGTAGGGACATTTGCTCCGAAAGGTGGGGTGAATGTATTTGTCCCTACCAAACCCCACCATGCTCACTTATCCTTCAGGCACTACTCCCTGAAAGACTATGGCGGCTCTTCTCATACACATTGCACCCTTACGACCGTTAATTTAATGTTTATTACGTAGAACAACCAAAGATAATGATAAACGCATGGCAAGCATATTCCTTTACACAATACATTTCGAATATCAATAGGATTATTAATCTATTGTATGCGTATGTAATACAATTCAAGTATAATATAATTTATGTACGTTGGGTCGATCGAACTATCAACGATTTAAAATGATTTGATGATCAAAACTTTGAATCAATAATCGTTAATATGTAAACGGAGAAAAAATTGTATTTTATCAAAAATTATTTCTTATCATTAATTTTATAGCGGTACTTATTAATTTATAACTCATGCTGCAAGTATACAAAACATTATTCAATATATTAAATATACTCCGTAACTTCGATAAAAAGAAACTAATTCCAATAATATTGTAAGTTGTAGATAGAAAGTAGTCTTTTTACAAAACTACTGATACCTAATTAGAAATAATGTTTCTGTTCGGAAACAAAACGCAGAATCTACCTCGGTTGCGAGTTGTCTGTAAATGTGTTCCTATAGGATGTTTGAAATGATAAATGTGTTTTTCTAATACGATGCAGTTTCAGTGTTTGTTATGATTACTTGCGAGTAGTTTTCGAAACTTAAGCTTTTTTCAACATACCAAACAAATATTTTTTATTTGTTGCCCTTATTCTCTATATTACAAATACTTTTACAATTTATTTATAATCTACAAAAACGGTTTAAGTACAAACGAGGTAATAAAAAATGTAATATGATGTAGCTGAATTGTTTGCTAAACCGAAGTACAATATATATATGTACTATGTTTGGTACAATACATACACCTCGACCTACTTTACACGTAGTTGCATATAATTGTATTATAGCTTATTATACGCACTCAATTTCATACCTGCAATTGGATAGCTACACTCAGATTTCCTTTCACGTGTATCATAGACAATATCTTTCGTAATTAATTCAGAATTCGCAGCATCAAAATCCCAACTTAAAAGATCAAACGATATAGTCGTAGGAATATACCGTGTGATATCTCTGCAGTTAGAAACTTGTTATTTTCTGATCAAATATGACTTTAAACCGAACCAAAGGTTTTCACTGTCCGTGACCGTGTCGCTTGCAATATTGCTACAGGTTATACGGTGAAATTAGTAATGGTGGAGTAGTGGACAGTAAATACCAAGCGTAGAAATATATTTAGCAATGTTAATTTAATGAGATATCCGCTCCAGTCAAACGATAGTTTACCGATTACATATTTACCTCGAGTGAAAATAAAGTTGATGAAAACCTGTTTGTACTTTGAATAGAGACATAAGAAAATACTTATAAATGATTTTCCTTACTCGTTCAATGTAACTATCGATCGTAATTGCATACATATTTGCTGTAATAACAGAAATGATAGAATACTTATAAACGATTCAAATTGCCTTTACTGTTCGATACGAATATCGATCAAAGCAGATGCGCTTCAATTACGTAATTTAAAATATTAAACTTTCATACATAGTGAATGGGAAAGAGGAAATAATTCGTGTGTCTTTCATGTAGATATTGATCTTGGTCATATATTTATAACTTTGCATGCATTCGACCTGTTTTACCACTTTAAAGATAAATGTAAAGAAACGGTGTTAAAATAAGCTTAAAATAAATGCAAATAGAAATTACATTTATAAACGTTTTCTATTTCAAAATGAATAAAATGTTTCCTACTAAAAAAAAAAAAAATATAAAAAAAAAAAGTAAATTCAATATGACTGAAAAAAGACTGTACACGGTCTTTATTTTTTTTTCGTATAAACACTAATCTATCGATCATTTTGTAATTGTAGATGTTTAGGTAAACACATCAACGACTACATATTGTGTAAGATAGTATATGCAGTACGGTATATATACTACTAATTTAAGAAGGGAATAACATACGTGACTAGCGCAACTATAAATACGTTCTCTATGTAGGAGACTCCTGCACCACCTTTCTTAAAACTTTTTCCTTGAAATGTAAATTCTTTCTGTTCGAATTAATTACGAACATACTATTCCTAAACACCGCGGTTGAATCGATTATATGGATAGAAAAATACGTACACTTATATAAATGTGTATCCAAATCTAATGTATTAAGTTGCAATGCACACACAATTGACAAGGCTATCATTGTTACGTGTATCAAATTACAGTCGTTAATATTATTTATGGGATTTAATATGTACCAAAGAATCATTTGTATAAGAACTAAATATTTATAAAGCAGTTGCTTCATATTGGAATTTTTTAAATAAGGAAATGAACAACTATCCCATACAAAAAACTAATAAGAAAAGTTTGGAACTCAAAATGTAAAAAACATTATTTCGTGGATAATTATTGTGTCAGATCTTTGAAATAAACGATTCCTTCCATCTTTCGAAAAAATTGATTTTTCTATTTAAGAAATCTACCGAGGTATGAAATGAGTGATTATTCCTTATGTAATATACGCGTAGATATGTTAACTCATAATATGCGTAAGTTCAATAACCAATTGAACAACAATGATAAATTGCAACTAAGAAGTTAATGTTTTTTTTTTTTTACATAATATGTAAAAGATATATACATAAATACACAGTTTTCAGAAAATAATAGTACACTTGTATGTAATATTGTGTATACATATATATGCATGCGCATGCACACACTTGTACATTTTAATCATTCAGAAATAAAATAACGTAAAATATATGTACAAAATTTATTTTTTATGAAATTTATGAATGAACGATCTACTACCACTTGTAAATAGCAAACGAACACAGCGACCAAAGGATAGAAAATATTACCATTGCACAAAAGATATAAAAAACAAAATATTAATTACTTATTCACTTAATCAAAATATTATATGTACATTATTAAACGCTTTTACTTCTCATCATTATATTCTTTGAAAAATTGTGTATTACATTATTTTGGATATATATACTGTTTAATGATTGTATAATAATCGCATAAAAATTTTTTATAACAAACACCACTATATCACTATATTAAATCTATAATAAATTATTTAAGTTTTAATCGTGCGTTACACAGAATATAATAAACCTATTTTTATAAATATTAAAAAAAAAAAAAAAAAAAATAATAATAATAATAATAATAAAAATAAAAATAAATATGACTCTTGTATATTTTTTTTCTCTTAAAGTACGCAAGCACGCGTATGTATATAATAAGGCACTTAAAAATAATATTTAAGATATCAAGATAAAATTTGCCTAACAAATATCAATAACAGTTTATATCAGAAATATACTTAACTTTTCTTTGCAATAACTGTAATTAGTAGTTTACTCAACCACAAGTTCATGCTGGTCTACTTCACTAAATGTTTTATTAATATTTTTAACCCAGTTCTTTAACCTTTGTTCCTGCTGTAATTTCATTTTGTTACCTCTTTTCCGCTTTATTTCATGTTTTGGTATCTCTTCCTCTTCTGAACCACTCTCGTCTGATAAACTGAATTTCACTGGTCGTTTACGTTTGTATGAATATCGTGGAGGCTGTAATACATGCATGTACACATATATAATACACATTAAGAATATAGTTAATAAATACTAACATTTAATTTAAAATAATTACAAATAATACCTGTGAAAAATGAGTTGGTTCAAAATCAGCAAACAATGGAACTTCTGGTATATTATTCCCTATTTTAGATTCACCCGTTTCAGAAAGAACATCAAATGTATCAGAAAAGCTTGTAATATCAATTTTATTTTTGTTCTTTTCTTTGAGAGGCGATCTTTTTACATCTAATTTTTCAGTTTGTACATTTTCAACTTTTTTTATATCCTCTTTCAATTTATTAACCGCTAATTTGTTTTTTATTTCATTAACTGATAATCTTGCTAAAGGTCTATTATAATTCTCTAAATTTGTCTGAATGGCTTTTTCTTCTTTTTCTTTGTCATTTGCATTTTTATACTCAACAGAAGATGATAAATTTTCATCATCTTCATCACTAAAACCAAATGCATTTTGTAATTCCATACTGCGTTCATGTAACTTTTTTCCTGATTTAATAGTACTAACTGGTGTTGAACATATATCATCAAAAATTTTGTGAGCTGTTTTGATTGTAGTACTTTGTGGCATTTCCATTATATTTAGAAAATTATTTAAATTAGATTGTCTCAATACTCTTTGATCATTAACAATTGAACGATTTTGTAAGCCCGATGGTCCAGGTTGAGGATCAAAATTTTCTTTTTGTTCATCCATTTGTACACTTAATGTACTTTTCTTAGGACTTTGAGAATTAACTTTTTTCCTTTCTTTCTTAACAACTATTTGACTTTGCTGATTTGACATATTGTTTTCTTTGTTTTCATTAGTACCAGAGCTAAATGTATTATTTGTACTTAAGTTCATTGTATTCGTTGTCTGTATAGCTGGTGGTGGTATATTTTCAGCTTCACTTACTACTAGTTCAGTTATACCTTCTCCTGGATTAGATTGTAAAGATTGATTTATGTTTGTAATTTCTGTACCAAATTTTCTTGACCCAGAAGGTTTTCTCTTTTTGTGACTAACATTACTTACATACCCTTCCTCGTTTATATTTTCATTGTTTTTCTGTGAAATATTTTTTGCATTTATTATACTTCCATATGGTTTGATTTCATTATTTGAAGTTCGCACAAATTTATTGCTAAAAATACCATATTTGTTGCTCTGTGGTGTACTTTGAAATGCATTCTTTACTTGTGAAAATGTAAGCGGTTGTGGCGTTCTCCAGGGACTACCAATTTCTAGATTTTCTGATGATTTTTTAATTGGTGATAAAGATCTTTCAAACAATGAATGATTAAGCATGTTTTTCTGCTGTACCACGAGATCACTCTTAAAAATATCTGTTAGTCTAAATGGCTGAAAATCATCTGACTTTGACGTTTGTGAATTATGTATCATTGTAACTTTTTTATTATTTAAATCTTCTACTGATACAATTCTTGGTTTTGTAATATTATCTTTGACTTGTTCTTCCTTTGTGCTTTGTGGTTTTTCTGATTTATGAGTATCTGTTTCTTCTTTTGCATATTCTTGCACGTTTTCTGTCAATACATGTTCAATTAAAGGATCTGCTGAAACATTTTTTAAATCTTCTTGTAAGTCATCTTTCTCTAATACATGTTCAACCACAGGTTCTGTTGAAACTTTGCTTTCTAAAATTTCAACAGAATTTGTTCCTATTGCTTCTTTATCGCGTTTTGCTTCTGTCACCTCCTTAAGTTCTTTAACTTCTTGAACTTCTTCAAACTGAAAATTAGTTGGAATCTCTTTATCAATTTTTATTTCTGGCAAATTATGTTTCCCAAAAACATTTTTCTTTTTTTTGCTTAATAGTGTTTTTTTAGTAGTAAACTTCTTCTTACGTTTCTTAGGCAATTTTTCTTTAGAATCATTAACATCAAATTTAAACTCATAGATTTCATTAGTATCTTCTTGAGAATTATCAAGTGGAACACTTTTATATACTGGTAATTTTTCTCTGCTTCCACAATCGTTTAATTTAGGAGAACAATCTTTTTTTATTGGTATTTCATCATTTTTTAAACCTTTAGTATTTTTAGAAGAACGTAGTACTCTCTTCTTAGACTGATTTACAAACGATTCTTTTAATGACATCTGTCGTAAATTAGAAATATTTTTACTTGTTTCATTTGTACTTTGCTTTCTCTTGATAACCTTTGATTTATTTCTATTTAAATTATTGGAATCATTATGTATTACACTTTTTTTAGCTTTTACTCTGTTATTAATTCCCTCTTTAGATAGTTGTTTATGTTTCACAGTTTTTTTACTTTCTTTTTCAATAGTTTCTGTATCCAATGAAGCTGAAGCATTATTCCTTTTCTTAGATAACACATTTCTTATTTGGATCGTGGATCTTGTATTGATCACTTTGCTGTTAACCTTTGTATTTACCTTTTTGTTTGCAATATTTTTAGGTTTAGCTACTGTATTTGAGGATGAGATCGTATTTCTTGACTGTGGGTCTTGCAAATTTAACAATAAAGTACGCTGCCTTGTCAAATATGGAGTCATTTCTCCATATGTACCATTTAAATCTGTAACATAATATGTAAAACTGTAATTTACAATCATAATTGTCAATTTTTGTTTAAAATTAAATTAAACTCATGAATCCTAACAAATAATTATTAATATCAGTAGTTGTCATAAGTATTGTAGAAACTTCACAATTACAAAATTTCTAGAACAACACACCTTCTAAATTACAACATTGTATAAGAATATATTGATGTATCATTTATCTTCTGTTAAGCTTATAGAATAAATAACACTTTTAATACAAAAATATATAATAATATACCTTAATTAAAATATCAAGATGTAAATATTAGATAGTACGTATAATACGTTTGTTAAAATTGGTTAAAATGATACAAAACAAAGTTTGCGACGTAAATAAAACCGGTTAAAATTTCATATGATGGCGTTATAGATTGGAAAATGCATGGCGGCCTTCATAACATTTCCAAACCGTGTATGCTTGGTGGCAGCTATGTCGCATCGTATATTTTCAAATTAAACACTTTGTAATGATGTTATTATAAATTTTTATAAATAATTATTTAATTTAATGTTTATTCTCATTATAAATACAGCAAAATGTTTATATTATTTGGTGCAATTTATTTTGCATGCCTATACTATATTCTGAAAAAAGCATGAACTGTGTCGTATCTTCATTTACTTATTCTATGATAAAATGGTTTCAAGGATATTGAAGCATTTCCCGCCATTTACAGTACTAAATACTTGTATATATTTCATATAAAACATTTATAAAAGTAATTAAAAATCAGTCTAGAATAATGGAAGGATTCGATGATCCAGGAATATTCTATTCTAATAATTTTCCCACTAGTGAATCTAATGAAAGTCAAGTTAAACTTCAATACTCGAAAAAGAAGTTTATGGAATTTATTAGACAATTTCATGAAGGCAATTTTAATTATAAATATAGGTACCTACATAATATATTCACAAGGTTTTAATCCAAAATTTATATTGCATGTTAAATAATTTAATAATATTATCTTTCAGAGATACCTTAAAACGTAATTACAATCTTGGTCAATATTGGGTAGAGATTAACTTAGAAGATTTAGCAGCTTTTGATGAGTCACTTGCAGAAAAAGTTTATAAGCACCCAACAGAATATTTACCAATTTTGGAGGAAGCTGCAAAAGATTTAGCAGATGAACTAACAACTCCTAGACCTGAAGGTGAAGAAAAAGTTGAAGATATACAAGTGTTATTATCCTCAGATGCAAACCCAAGTTCCTTAAGAGGAATGAAAGTAAGATTCATTGTTAAATTTAAAAATATTTATATCTTTGTATTAACTTATATCTTTCTGTTAGCCTGATGCAGTTTCAAAGCTTATAAAGGTACCTGGTATTGTTATATCAGCATCTGGAATCAGAGCAAAAGCAACAAAAATTGCTATACAATGTCGTTCTTGTAGAAACACACAAACAAATATTTCTATTAAACCTGGTTTAGAAGGATATGTTTTACCTAGAAAATGCACAACTGAACAAGCAGGTCGACCAAAATGTCCATTAGATCCATTTTTCATAATGCCAGATAAATGTCAGTGTGTTGATTTTCAAGTCCTTAAGTTACAAGAATTACCAGACAACATCCCACAGGGTGAAATACCAAGACATTTGCAATTATATTGTGATCGTTATTTATGTGATAAAGTTGTACCAGGCAACAGAGTTCTTATACTGGGAATATATTCTATCAAGAAGGTCACCAAAACTGGTAGAGGTGCAGGAAAAGAGAAAACATTGGTTGGTGTTCGAGCACCGTATATAAGAGTTGTTGGTATCTCTGTAGATGGAGAAAATACAGGCAGTGGTACATTATAAATTACATTGATATAACTAAAGCAGCTTATACAAAATATGTTCTTATCTAATTTTGAATCATTTTTAGGTACTCATCCAGCTATTACAAATGAAGAAGAAGATTTATTTAGACGTTTAGCAGCAGATCCTAATTTATATGAAAGGATAGCTAAAAGTATAGCTCCTAGTATTTTTGGTGTATTAGATATTAAAAAAGCAATAGCATGTTTATTGTTCAGTGGATCTAGAAAAAGAATGCCTGATGGTCTTTGTAGAAGGGGAGACATTAATATTTTGATGTTGGGTGATCCAGGTACAGCTAAATCACAATTACTAAAATTCGTAGAAAGAGTCGCACCAATTGCAATTTATACATCTGGCAAAGGAAGTTCAGCTGCTGGCTTAACAGCATCAGTTTTAAGAGATCCAATAACGGTAAGCTACTAATATTTTTCCTTTAATTCTAACCAATATAAATATATTTATTTTATATTTATCAAAACACGCTGGTTGATTCATAGAGAAATTTTGTCATGGAAGGAGGAGCTATGGTCCTTGCAGATGATGGTGTTGTTTGTATAGATGAATTTGATAAAATGAGAGAGGACGATAGAGTTGCGATACACGAAGCAATGGAACAGCAAACAATATCAATTGCAAAAGCAGGAATAACTACAACATTGAATACTCGTTGCTCCGTTTTAGCAGCAGCGAACTCGATATTTGGTCGTTGGGATGATATAAAAGGAGAAGAAAATATCGACTTTATGCCAACAATTCTATCCCGTTTTGATATGATATTTATTGTTAAAGACGTGCACGAGCAAGCTAAAGATATAATGTTAGCAAAGCATGTAATGAATATTCATAGTAATGCTGCTCAAATTACAGAACAATCTACAGAGGGAGAGTTACCATTGCATATTTTAAAGAAATATATTCACTACTGCAGAACGTAAGACTGTTACTTTTAAATATGTTTTTTATTCCGAATTAATTTATATACTTCCTACAGACGTTGTGGTCCAAGACTTAGTAAAGACGCGGGAGAGAAATTAAAAAATCGTTATGTCGTAATGCGAGCTAGTACAAGAGATCATGAGAAGGACACAGAAAAAAGATTGTCTATTCCCATAACCGTTCGCCAATTGGAAGCTGTAATAAGAATCTCTGAATCTTTAGCTAAAATGAGATTACAACCTTTTGCTACAGAAGTTCATGTAAACGAAGCGCTTCGACTTTTCCAAGTGTCTACTTTAGATGCTGCAATGTCTGGATCATTAGCTGGTAATCTAAAATTACTGTTAATATATAATTATAATTATGATATTTGTATATAAACACATGTAAAAAATAGGTGCGGAAGGATTTACCTCGAACGAAGATCATGAAATGTTATCTCGTATTGAGAAACAATTGAAACGCAGATTTCCTATTGGGAACCAAGTATCAGAACAAAATATTGTCAAAGATTTTATAAAACAAGCATATCCAGAACGTGCCATTTACAAAGTTATACATACAATGATACGTCGCGGAGAACTTCAACATCGTATGCAACGTAAAATGTTATACAGATTATTATAGACTGAAATGCGACAACATCTTTCGTTTTTGTGCATTTATTCATATATTTTTTTAATTTTTGTACTTCACTTAACTCATTTGTAATATATAAATATACACGTACTCAAACTACACGTTAACAGTATTTCAATTAGGATTGTAATTCATCTTTGAATGGATAGTGCGAATGATTTTCAACACTGAAACAAATCAATTTAAAAAAAGTTACTTTTATCCAATTACGATACACAAATTTTTTAAACGCACTTACCCTTTGAAAAATAGAAAATTAAAAATTCTTCCACCAGGGCCCTTATCTAAGGTACTTAAAAGTTCCATCTCTTTTTTTGTTAATGTAAAATCAAATAAATCAATATTTGCTTTAATCCTTTCTGGGGATGAACTTTTTGGAATTACAACAACACCTAATTGTAACAGATGATGCAGTAAAATTTGTGCCGGTGAGCGTTTGTGTTCCGTACTAATTTTTTGTACTATTGGATGTCCTAAAAGATCAGGAAAATCTTCAACATTATGATTGTATTTTGTTTGAAAGTGCTGTTTAGCTCCTGGTGATCCCAGAGGACTGTATGCTGTTACAATAATATTGTGCTTTTGGCACATTTGTCTAATTGAATTTTGTTGCAGGTAAGCATGTAATTCTATCTAAAAACAATACAAATTTTATCAATATAACATTCTCAGTTCAGCATTCATTTTCATATATAAAACTTACTTGTAAGTTACTTGGTTTAATTTGTGCATTTTCCCAAATGTTTAAGACTTGTTTTTCATTAAAATTACTTAGACCTATAGATCTTGTATGACCCTTTTCAACTTGTTCTTCCATTTGCTAAAAAGATGAAAAAAAATCAATTACAAGTTATTATCACACCACCACTTAATACTATTGTAATATTAAACCTTCCACACTGAAACAGGATCTGTATCAAGATCTAACACGTAACTTCCATCTTCATTAGTTGCTGCAGTATTAGTACTTTCATTTAATTTAAAAGCAAATGGCATATGAATTAAGTACATATCCAAATAATTCAAGCCAAGTTTTTTCAGGGATAAGGTAATGAACTTTTCCACATCTGATGGTCGATTACCATAATTGGGTAACTAAAAAATAGATATTTTATAATTTTATACAAAGAAACCTTTTTCTATCTTAAAGTACATATACCTTTGAAGTAATGAAAAGATCTTCTCGTTTTCCACCTTCTTCAAACCATTTTTTTAATACTGCCCCAATTGCCTCTTCATTATTATAATTAAATGCAGTGTCAATATGTCTGTAACCAACATTTAAAGCAGTTGACACAGCTTTTTCAATTTCTTCAGGTTTAGCCTGTAGGAAATATAATGTTAAATAATTCCATAATTGAAAATAACAAGTTTGATTTTAGTTTTATGTATTATCAATTACCTGCCAGGTACCTAAACCCACAGTAGGCATGTCATACCCTGACAACAATTTTACCGTCTTCATAATTTCTTTCTTTGAGTGATTTATTGCTGTGAAACATAATTACAACAATTATTTAAAAAATTGTATAACACATATTTTATGACATTGTTGTTGTTAAATTATTGCAACAATGTTTCAGATTACCATAAATTATTATGTATTATTAAATGACAATTACTGAACTTGTGAAAATACAATTTAGGTACAAAATCAATTTCTAAAGTTAGACCAGACTTGTACTGTTCTAAATACATAAGTCCGCATCTGTAGAGACAGAGAAATTGCTACACGTATCTCGCGGAGACTCGTATTGATCTGTAGTATTTTATACGCTACATCAATCGAAACGTTTGAGAAAATATCATTATTTACGTAGCAATTAATTTTTCAGATTTTACAATTAAAATATTTTAAAATATGGTTGCATTCAATGATGTAAGGATTTAAATCAACCGGCTATTGTATATGCCTTGTACAGCGAGTTTGTATTTAAAATTATACAAAATATATAAAACAGACATTGATTTTTGAGATATTAAATAAATTTTAACAATAATAACGTACATAATGACTTAACCCCACGTCGTTGTTTATTTGTTACGAAAAAACAATTGACAAATTGACATTTTATACATTGGTTTAATTTACTAAATAATAACTGATAGTATTTAAACATATTCCTTCGAGACATAATGGGTTACAAAAAGAATTCCACGAATTGTATTTATAATAATATAAAAAAGTAGATGCAATTTTATAAACCCTATAAAGATTGCATAAAATTGTCTTCCCGCGTTACATTGATTTAAACTACGTTATCGTCAATAGGAGTTATCGATTAATCGATACTTTTTTATAAAGAAATTTGACTATGTAGTTGGCAACATTGTATGTCAGTTAAGGATAGTTTTGATACTGATTTGTGTTTGATTACATTTGTTTATAACATGAGAACTTTGTTATATCTTTTTGTAGTTTACAGACAGAGAATTTTGTTATAATTTATGACTGAACAGTTTATATTTTCAAAGTAAAAACATGTTGATTTACGATGTTTTACATAAAGAAACTGTATATCATTCAGTCGTTAGCGACCTCCGTAACTATGGGGTTAAATACCGATTTAAAAAGAGTATGTTTAAAACTGAAATACTGGAGGGAACTAAACAAATTTCGAAAAAAGTTTTTAAGACTTCTTTATCCTATCAACCATTAGATGTTGTGAATTTATCTTCGGGTGGTATTGTTCACGTACCCGTTTTTATTAGTCAAGCAACTGCATTTTTAGAAAAATATGTTACTCAAGAAGGGTTGTTCAGGAAAGCAGGATCTCAACTAAGACAAAAAGAATTAATGATCTGTTTAGATAATGGTGATATATTAGGAGATAAACACCATGCAATTGATGTAGCTAATTGTTTAAAAACTTTTCTCAGGGATTTACCAGAACCATTAATCCCTTATGTATATCATGATTTATTTATACATTGTGCTATGCTTAAAACATTTCGTGTACAAGCATTGTTATTAGCTTGTATTCTCTTGCCACCGCACCATCTTAATACATTAGCATATTTTATGGAATTTCTGAAAAAAGTATCTCTATATGAGAAACAAAATAAAATGAATGTTGATAATTTAGCTAAAGTTATTGGACCAAATGTTATGCCTTTACAAGAAGTTAGTATGTCTGCTGTAAGAACACGTCTTGAATTACATTTAATTATTGTTAAGGTAATAAATTTATCTTAATACAATTATACATTTTTAATAAATTATTAATTTATTATATTTTACAAGTATAGATTTTAATTGAAAATGCAGAGAGTATTGGTATTTTACCAGATCATATAACACAAGCTGTTTCTATGGAAACAATTGGTAGCACAGACAATGAATTAGATGTATCTGGTAGTCATTTGCATTCAAAGTTGAGGAAAAAAAAACATCGCAGTGGAAGTCTTACACGTAAGCCACATCTAAGTGCCTCCAATCTCAATCTAAGTATGTCTGGATCTGTTCATAGTAATTACTGTTTAAATTTTCTGATAATAAAAACCAGGAAAGAAGCTTTACTAACTTAATTACTAAACATTAAAGAATGTACTTATGTATAAATAACTATTAAGATTTGAATATTTTTATTCAGGAGTATTTAATGGTTTAAAAAAGATGGTTGGCAAGAATAGTGCACCTGAAGATGATAATGTATCTGATAATCAAAGAATTCCTGAAAATTATGATGCATTGCATGCATCAAATAATAAAAGTACCAAAAAAAGAAAAGTTGAATACTCAGATTCTCAAACTGCAAAGAAAAAGTATGTATTTAAATGTTTCGTGTATATGTTATATATTTACTATTTAATATATATATTTACTATGTTTTAGGAGGAATTCAGATAAAACTGATAAATCTAAGAAAATGAGACTCAGCTTGGATCGTTTTGTACCAAGGAAATCAGTAAGACTGTTTAAATCATTTATTTTATTAATGATTTATTTGATTTTAATAATATTTTGCATGTTAAAAATTTTTCTATTTACAGAAAATTAACGATGAAGGTACCGAAACATATACGGAACGACGGTGGAGTTCCGTTAATGATAAATCTGATTCACAAAGAACACATAGAACATACAGCGATGGTTCATCACAGATGAAATTAATTTTAAAAAATAACGAAACGTCAAATGATCTTCATAGAGAGTATAACAACGTTTTCATTGACGCAAACATTAATTTATCGGATGATAATGACGAGCAGGCCTTGTTAGCAAAAGAAAGTGATATTAGTAAATCTCATCCACAAATTAACTTAAATTCAGAAGAATTAAAGATTGCGAATAATTTTGATCAAATGTATTTATACCCGCTAAAGAACAGAGTAACCGTAAATAATCTGGAAACATATTCACGTATTAAAGTCACATCTGTGGACAACGAGTCTGAAGAATATGTTACAATACCGAAAAGCGAATATGAGGAAATTAAAAATAGGGTTTCAGCGATTGAATCTCGCCTTTCTCAAGAGCTTGGATGCGTGAATGATGAGGAAAAAGATAATTTATCACCACACTCTGTAAAAAAAGTACAAACTGCCTATGAAAAAACTTTAGAAGAAGCTAGTATTGAAAGTACGGTAACAACCGACTATTTAGCTAGGAAACTTGGTAAAGAACTTAAAATTAGAAGATCGGGCGAACATAAAATTATCCGATCTCCAAGTGCTCGAAAAATAGGAAATTTAAGAAGACGATCACAGGAGAGAATGATGAGGTAAATTGAATACTTATATTATGATGTTGACTTAGAGTTTAATCTGATAGTGACTAATTTAGTTTTTTTCTTGATTTCATAGTAAACGTGTTAAGCGAACTTCTTCGTGGCATATTTCTCATGGATCAGATTTACAGTCGCATGTACAATCTAATCAAGAATTAAATAATGCTTATCTCCATAATGAGAAACATTTTTCACCAAATTATATAAAAGATGATACTATATCTACTTCTTTTTGGGAAGAAGACAAAAATGTAATAATAAATAATGTACGTAAAAAACTTAACAATTCAAGTGCACTTGCATCAAACGACGATTTAAATTATATTGCAACTGAAGCACTTCCAATAAAGAATAGAATACACACGACAGTACGCCGGGTGTCATCTTTCCATGGTAATGAATTTACAAATACAAATACATATTCCGTTGAAAAAGTTGAAAAATTGAAGAAGACAAACAGTCAGCAAAGTATTATTTTAAATAATACACCTGCCACTAAATCGACTCCGAAATTTGATGGTTGGAGAAAAGCAACTATGTCCTGGAAAGATGCTGAGGGATATTTTACCTCGGCTACCCAAACGAATACCCCGGTTACTCAAACTGGTCGTGCATCGATTGCGAAATTAAGAACTCAAAATGCAGGAATGGTATTAGCTAAAGCTAAATTATTCGATGAATGTACAACAAAAGTATACGGACAAAATGCTATTTTAAATAAAAAAAATGATTTACTAAGTACAACTAATGATCAGTGTCGAAAGTCGAGCAGAAATGTAAAAAACAAAAACTCGAGGCATTCACCTTCTCAAATTATAGTGGAAACAGAAAACGCGACTTCAAATTTGATTCAGAAAGGTGGTAAAACGTGTTATTACATTTCTCAAAATAAGCAACTTAATATGATTTCTAATGCAACAAATCACCAGAAGGAGAATATTACTGTAAAAACACCGCCTTCGGTAAAAAAAGGGTCTCCGTTATTGCAGGAGTCAAGGTTGAGTACGTACAAAGCCGATAGCAATGCACTATGTAAAACTCCACATATTAAGAAACCATTGACTGTAAAAACACCTAAAAGTGCTAAGGCACTAGTAAAAAAGCCTACAGTAGATTCTCGTAGAACGCCTCTAAAGGCTGTTAGTCAGTTAGGAACATCAAAATATCAAAGTCCTAAAAGTATTTTGAAAACAAGAACTGTTCATAGATATACTTAAAATGAACCATGAGCTAGTATAAATATGAAATTATTACTTACAATTTCATATTAATAATACACAATTTTCATTATGGAACAGTATTTTTATATATAATAGGTAATCATATAAATATATTAGAAACTATTTTGAGTATATTAAATGAACAGAAACAGTTTGTCAAAATTTTAAATACCAGAAAAATAGTTGAAAACGTTTATACGTTTGTATACATTTTTATTCTTACCCTTCTTAGTATTAGAAAGATATATGTATACTTACAGGTATCTAATTAAGTACAAAATGTATTATATCTTGATTGCAATACTATATTTGAAATTTGCAAATGTGTGCCATTTAAATTGAATTTCTATAAGCATTATACAAATATGAACATTGACCATACTAAAACAATGCTTTATAAATTTTATAATATATAATGTTACATTTTATACTTTTGTTTACCATTTATGTAATTTATTTGCAAATATAAAATTATAGAAGTTTAACTTTGGGTATAAGTAAGTATATTATTAAATTAAGTTTTATTTAGAATAATAAAAAAAAATAAATAAGTAAAAAGAATTGAATGTACTATCGTATTCCACGTGGTTTAATCATAATAAGTAAAATACAGTTTATTTGCGTTCAACCAATCAAATTGTACAGTCTGTCCGATTTGGAACTGTCAAATAAAAATAATACATGTTCAATCGCACTAAATAAAACAACCATGACATGAAAATGATACATTTATCGTAAAGTAAAACTGTCTTCGGTGTTAAGGTAATAAACTATCGCTGAAACATTTAACAAATAATTTTTACACAATTTGTTGTAACCATGACACGTTCTATTTAGTTTTAGACATTCTCGTGATGATAGCAGCGCCTCGTTGATTCTAGTCGAATCTACAGCTGTTGATACGTAAATTGTTGGTGCGAGAAGTGTCAGTGATTATTTTCCTTATAAAAAACAGCCTTTGGGCTGAAAAAATAATTAAATAAAAAATGAGAGAGGCCGGAATAATGTTAATAAGCACAGCACTAACGTGTGCTGTAATAGGCAATGCTTATTACCAAAGAAAACAGTTTTACCCAACAGTAGTTCACATAACCAAATCGAATCCTAGTATGACGGTAAGTTTCGATACATTTCTATCCCAAATTTTCTTTTATTTCACTATTTAATCAATTTTTCCATCGAATTTAGGTAATCTATGCACAGGGTTTAATTCTAGTGTTTATGATAAATGCGTTTCTTCGAAAGATATTTTTTGGTACTCTACGTGCTGCTGAACTTGAGGTATGTCATTTATTTATTAAAAATACTAATCTTTCTTATTTGTAAAATGAACACATTGACACCAAATATTGTTTACTTATAGCATCTGTTGGAAAAGGTATGGTACGCTGTGACTGAAACTTGTCTAGCATTTACAGTATTCAGAGATGATTTTAGCCCAAAATTTATAGCATTGTTCACACTTTTGTTATTTTTGAAATCATTTCATTGGTTGGCAGAAGATCGTGTAGATTATGTAAGTAAAATGAACATATGAAGCTGGTACATAAAGTTTCATCAATAAATGTGTAATTTATTTTGTCATATATAATTTGCAGATGGAAAGAAGTCCTGTGATAACATGGCTGTTCCATCTCAGAGTTGGTACTTTATTGGGACTTTTGTTTGCTATAAACTTAACTATGATTCATTATGCATATAATACAACAGCCACAAAAGGTCCTTCGGTACAGCTTGTGTTTGGTTTTGAATATGCTATTCTTTTAACTGTTGTATTCAACATTAGTGTAAAATATATATTGCATACAATAGACCTGCAAAGTGAAAATCCATGGGATAACAAACCAGTATTTCTTTTGTATACAGAATTAATAATTGGACTATTAAAGGTAAAGAACATAATAATACTTTTTTTTGGCTATTTAAATACTGTTAATTTTATATTTTTTACATCAGGTTATTTTGTATATTGCTTTTGTCACACTGATGGTCAAGTTGTATACTTTACCTCTGTTTGCACTTCGTGCAATGTATTACACAATGAGAGATTTTAAAAAAGCTTTCCATGATATTGTAATGTCTCGGCGAGCGATTAGGAACATGAATACATTATATCCAGATGCAACACCAGAAGAGTTAGCTGCTGCTGATAATGTTTGTATAATATGCAGGTGAGTATTATATTTCTGAGATACTAATACAGCTTTAATAACTGTATACATATTTCATTGTTATTACTACTACATATATATTACTATCGCAGAGAGGAAATGGTGGCAGCAAGTAAAAAATTACCATGTAATCATATTTTCCACACTGCCTGTCTACGTTCGTGGTTCCAACGTCAACAGACATGTCCCACCTGCCGTTTAAATATTTTAAGACCTGTTAACAATAATCAAGGGAATAGGCAACAAAACCAACCACAAGCAGGGCCTCAAGTACCTCAACCCCCGCAAGCACCAGGGTTCAATCCAATCGGTATGTATAGTACGTGTAGTAATGTTTATTTCTTCCTATACTGTAATATTAAGAAAAATTCTGTTGAATACAGTTCAAGTTCTACCAGCATTTTGGGCTGGGTTACAAGCTCCAGGAGCAGGTCCACAACAACCAGCTCCGGGTGATGCACCACCGCAACAGCAAGCTCAACATAGTAGTGCGAGTACTCCTTCCGCATCGTTTCAAAATTTAGCAGCCAATGGGGTGCCATTGTTCCCACCACCATTTCCTACTATGGTACCATTACCACCCATTCCTACACCACCACCAAATTTAACGGAACTAAGCGAAGAAGAACTTAGAGCAATGGAGGGTAATTTGAGGCAAGCCGTTGAAGCTAGAATACAGATGTTACAAAGAGTTCAGCTTTTACTAGATGCTGCCAGTGCAATGATGAATCAATACCAAACAGCAGCTGCTACTGCTAAGTATGTACAAAATCGGTGTATTACACTGATACAGTCATTAAATATTTAGATCTTATTTTCTGACATTTATTGTTACAGCATTCCAGTGCCAACTGCAACAAGTAGTATGAATGTTACACCGAATGCTTCTTCGATGGCAAAGCCAGGAACGTCGAAAAATACAAGTTCTGAAGTTGATAATGAGCAATGTCAAGCTAAAACTGAAACGAATGTTCCTATTGTAAACTCTTCCAATGATAATGCGAGCACGTTATCCGGCAGAAGTGATACAGAATCAAGCGAACAGGAAATGCTTCGGAGACGTAGGCTACAAAAATTTTCAACTTAGCTCAGAACACAGTAGATGTTCATGAAATCATATGATAATTTGTATAATTTGTTAATTACTGACAGGTCTGATTGCAGATGTGATTGATTGAAAAAGCTTGAAATTCAAAATTTACAGTGCAATCACGAAGGTGTCAAATAATGAGTTAAAAGAAAAAGTAAAATAAATTTTTGTATAACATTGATTTAAGAAAAGAAATAACAGAAGCAAATTTTAGTTTTCAACAAATTTTGTATGTATTTTCAAAATTATTTCATTAGTTTGTATGGACATGTATGTACTTTATACCATGATACAGATTTCTCCAAAATATTTTGCAGAATAATTTTTGTATCAATTAAATTGTTACTGTAATCCCTATTTGAAAATTATTCTAATCTGTTTAATCCCTCAATTACATATTAAAAATATGACTTAAAATACCCTGTAAGTTTTTATTGTACTATATTTAGACTGCTGTACAAATTTTATGAATTATTACATGTTAGGAATACTTGTGTCTGTACATGGGAGAGGTAATGTCAGTCACTATAATATGACTGTAACAATTGTTTTTAAATAATTGTCATAATATGTAATAAATTTATTTGTCTATTTAATAATGTTTCTGTTTTTATTATATACATTTGTATAAAAATTACTTGTAATACTTTTAAACTATAAATGTATATATATCAAATGAGAACATAGAAAAAAATAAGTACAAAATATATTATAAAAATATAATACTTCTATAATAAATACAGATACATTTAGTTAAATTATTTAATTTTATTTATATGGAAGAGAAAATTCATGCAAAGTTTAAGTTATACAGTAGAAAGAAACATATTAAATTAAAAAAATATAATTCTAATAACCTAAATGTGATAAATTTCTTATTTACGTATAAAAATATATAAACATATATAAATATTTCATTTCATATATCATCAGAATGTAATTACGAATAAAGGGAAAGTATGAAACTGTAAATAAAAATATCGTATACATGATGTTATATTATCTAAAAAAGCAGAAAAATTAAATGAAAACATAAGTAAATAATTACTGTCATCGACTAAGTTTTATTGATCAGTTGAAAGATAATTATAACCTCATTTTTCTGTATCAAAAATGCGCAAACTCCCTATGTTTACACACAAAGCAATCAGATTTTGTTGAAAAAATTATTTTTTATAATTCGAATTTCTTTGAGAAACAAAAATACATGATAAATTATATAAATTATGGACAAATTATACAAATTGCATAAAAAACTTATACATATACCTATGTAAATCTATGAAACAACAGTATGTTTCACGTTTCACTCATTAAAACAAGCAACTTTTCTTTATTAATTAAACATCATAAGTGTTAAACTTTAACTCATAAACTTTAATTTTCATATTTTTTACTTGTTAGTATTAAATTTGTCTCAATAATTTAGTCTTTTAATTTAATTTCGATGAATTTAATGTTCATTTCATCAAATAATATGTGAGTAACACATTTATCAAATACGTATAAACATATAATGTGGTTATCTGTTATTTTTTGATACTGCTACAGATCATATATATATATCTTTTTAAACATAACAAATTATTTACGTAACATAAAATAAATTTGTAACATTAAATTTTATTTTCATCTATCTATATATTATGTACGAGTGTCTAAAAATTTCTAGTGTTGTAATTGTTAAATATGATGTGCTATTTTATAGATTAAATATCATTATAGGAACGTGTAATGTTTAAAACGATTTTATATTTTTTACGTTATTTTATTCTTTATTTACAATGATTGATGTCTGCGTATTCGATCTTTTATATTCTCTAATGATTTATTATTACATTAATGAACGCAATACTTACCTAAATACAAACTATTATATTACGCGCTAAAATCCTTGAGATACACGAGGCGAACCCCGTAGCGCGTTGTTGTGATCTAACATGGCGGAGTGTAGTGTTGTGGCTGCTCAGTGTCTATGTCAATTTTTGGAGTGATTTTGCTTAATAAGAACGAAAGGATTGCAATGGTCGGCAATCACGGTATTGCAAGAAATTGAGTCAAATAGTCGTATACTTATGAGTATTTGTATTACAAGAGGATTGAGTTTAATTTGAGTTTCGTTTGTCGCGGGAACCGTACACAGCGGTGAGAGAGCACGCAGAGTGCCGTCTTCCCAGCAACAAAATTTGCTCCTGACCTTCCACCACAACAAGTTGGCCTTTTGGAGTGATCCGGCATACAATTAAGATTTCTTTACTTTGCGTACACACGACACGTGATAACGGAAACTTGCACGACATAAAGTTTTCCCGCGCGTCCTGAGAGGTTTTCTTGGCGCAAGAATCAGGCTTATGCAACGACGAGCGCATAAACATCTATTACGGTAAACAATATCATTCCGTCAAACGAATTCAAAGGCATGTGACGGATCGTTGCCGCTTGTATTTTATCGTAAAAATTCTAGTGACGGAACTTGATCTTGTGTAAATTCATTAAAGAAGGCATTATACAATTAGTGGAAAAACTGAGAAAATACAATAGGCTGGTGAAGTCTATAAGATTGACACTAATTGTTATTAAACATATATAAAGATTCCTTATGGCGTGTTTCTTAATTAACAGTTATGTCATTTACTTGTGCAAACAATTAGAAAGGAATAATCATATGCAAGTATCAGAACTTTAAACGAAACATACATTGAAAGTTGTGTTTCTTTTATATGATTATTACCGATATAAAAGTCTTAATGGGTTTCAAGGAAGTAATTGACAAATCAATATATGGGGATTTTGGTGCATTTGTCAATTTATCAGAGAGTTGAGAAACATTCATAAAGATATTTAAAAAGCCAAAGAAGTGGTAAAGATATAAGGGATGCAAGGTAGCTGGTGATATTATAGAGCAGTGTGTATAAGTTAATTTTTACAATATGACGGATACGCGCAGAAGAGTTAAGTTGTATGCGCTCAATGCTGATAGACAATGGGATGATCGTGGTACAGGCCATGTTTCTTCTTCGTATGTAGATAGATTAAAAGGAATTTCACTTTTGGTCAGAGCAGAGAGCGATGGTTCGGTTTTATTGGAAAGCAGAATACAACCTGACACTGCATATCAGAAGCAACAGGTAATAATTGTTAATTTTGTATTAAATTTTTAATAAAAAAAAAATCTGTATTTTCTGTTTATGCAGCATTAAAAAAAGAGTACACTCCAAATGTTTGTCCTTTATTTCAGGATACATTAATAGTTTGGTCGGAAGGAGATAATTTTGATTTAGCCTTAAGTTTCCAAGAAAAGGCTGGCTGTGATGAAATCTGGGAGAAGATATGTCAAGTTCAAGGAAAAGATCCATCTGTTGAAATAACTCAAGATATCGTTGAAGAATCAGAAGATGAGCGATTTGATGATATGTCAGATGCTGCACCACCCATAGAATTGCCTCCATGTGAATTAAGTCGATTGGAAGATATCAATGAACTTATAGGGAATTGCTTATCTTCTCAAATGAGGAAAGATAAACTAGCATTGGCTTTAGAATCAGAAGGTTATATCAAGAAACTATTGAATCTATTTCATACATGCGAAGATTTAAAAGACAGTAAAGGATTACATCAACTTTACAATATATTTAAAAATATTTTCCTACTTAATAAGAACACATTATTTGAAGTTATGTTTAGCGATGATACGATTTTTGATGTTGTTGGATGTTTGGAATACGAGCCAACGTTACGTGAGCCAAAGAGGCATAGAGAATATCTTCGACAGTTAGCCAGATTTAAGCAAGCAATTCCTATTACAAATACTGAATTACTAGCTAAAATTCACCAAACGTATCGGGTTCAATACATTCAGGATGTAGTTTTACCGACTCCAAGCGTATTTGAAGATAACATGTTGAATACATTGAGTAGCTTTATATTTTTTAACAAGGTTGAAATAGTAACCCTAATACAGGACGATGAGAAATTCCTCACTGAATTATTCCGCCAGTTAACAGATGAAGCAACATCAGACAGTAAAAGACGCGATCTAGTTCTTTTCTTGAAGGAGTTTTGTAATTTTTCTCAGAATCTTCAACCGCAAGGAAAGGAGGCCTTTTATAAAACTTTAACAGCACTTGGTATTTTACCTGCTTTAGAAATTACTTTGGCAATGAACGATGCCCAAACAAAAACAGCTAGTATAGATATATTAACGTATATAGTGGAATATTCTCCGAGTGTTGTTCGAGATTATACATTGCAACAAATAAATAATACAGAACAGGACCAAATGTTGATAAATGTAATAGTTGCTCAACTCGTTGGCGATAGTGACCCTGAGTTGGGTGGAGCAGTACAACTGGCCGGTGTATTACGCCTGCTTCTTGATCCAGAAAACATGTTGGCTTCCGTTAACAAATCAGAAAAGACTGATTTCTTAAACTACTTCTACAAGAATAGTATTGGAACACTGATAGCACCTCTTTTAGCAAACACAATTGGAGAACGACCAGCAAGGGAAGATTACAGAACAGTACAGCTTTTAGGATTGATTCTAGAGTTATTGTCGTTTTGTGTAGAGCATCATACGTACCACATTAAAAATTGCATATTGAATAAAGATCTGCTCAAACGGATACTGGTTTTAATGAAATCGACACACACGTTTTTAGTATTGTGTGCTTTAAGGTTTATGAGAAAAATTGTAGCATTGAAAGATGAGTTTTACAATAGGTACATCATTAAAGGAAATTTATTTGCGCCCGTATTTGATGCATTTGTAAGAAACAATGGTAGATATAATCTATTGGATTCTGCTATTCTTGAGATGTTTGAATTTATTAAACTGGTAAGCACAGAATAAATACACATCAACATTTATTTTTAAATTGGTTCATTTTATACTTTGAATGCATTAATTGATTTTATTTTAGGAGGACATTAAATCGCTATGTTCGCATGTTGTTGAAAATTTTTCAAAAGAACTAGAAACAATCGATTATGTACAAACATTTAAAGCTTTGAAATTAAGGTACGAACAACATCAAGACAAGCTGAAAGATCGAGACAGGGCAGCTCTTGACAGGTAAAAGGAAATTTCTTCAATAATTCGTCTTTAATCAAAGTTAATTATAACGTGTTGTCGTTGTTATTTTTTTTTTTTAAGTGTTCCATCCATACTGAGAAATAGTCGATACAGAAGGGACCAGAGACAATTAGACGAAGAAGAGGAAATGTGGTTCAATGAAGAGGAAGACTTTGATGAGGGTGAGGCGGTCGTACCCGCAGCAGCAGCAGATCTTGTGCCTCCGGCTTCTGCTAAGAAACAGTCGTCAACTTCAAATTCTGCACTTAATCCTGCTCTTGCAGATTCTAAAAGTCACCATCAGCAGCAGCAGCAGCAGCAGTCCGTGTTGAACAATAACACTGCTAACAATAACATTACCTCGCAGCAATCACAAATCAACAATAGTACAACAACAACAAACGAATCTCCAATTAGTTCGGAAATAAATCCAAATTCGCCTATCGGGACGGTAGAAAAAACTGGGACTGCATTATTTAAAAAGGTAAATTTCTCTTGTTTTGCTCGGTAAAACTTTTCTGTTTCCAGTTCGTACTTTTTAGTTTAAGGCATACATTTAACAATGTTGTTTTCAGGGGTTAGTCGATTACGAGGGGGATTCAGATGAAGAAGACGAGGATACGGAGGTGACACCCTCTCCAAAACGGCAAAGATTGTCATAGTAGGCAAATTGGAGAAGAACGAGAAATTTGTGTTTTTTAATCGCTTCTACCGTTTCTGGCCCTCCTACGTGCACAAAGAACTCGATCGGAAAGTCATATTATCAACCCTTTTGTAGCTGAACAGAAGAACCATTCTCTTTAAGTGAGCGGATGCACGAGGATGTGTGTTTATCATGTGGTGGAAATTGACATACCTCTTTGTGTTGGGTTGTACATAATATACGAGAACATCGATACCGAATGCAGGTGGGTGAAAGGGTCTTAGAAATGGAATGTATGTAATTAAGGGGAATAATAATGAATTATGAACTAATGCGATACAAAGGAAGAGAGAACTTTCTTTAATGAAACATATGACGGTAAAAGTTGTGGCATAACGTTGTATGACCACGTGTGTAAGTGTTAAAAGTAACAAAGTTTTAACAAGAAATAGTCCATTCCACATTGTCTGGAAACACCCCAAGTACTAGAAGAAATTATTTCACGAATAGGCTAAGAAACTCTAGCCAGGCCTAGTGGTTCTTACGAGTACGAAGTTTCTAAGCACGTGCTTAGATTCACGTAATAATTAAAAATTTGTGACTGTACGTCATATATTACATCTGCTAAGAAGAAACTTACTATGTAAAAAAAAAACAAAAAAAAAAACAGATAATTACATGTAAAAGTACATGATGTACCGCACAAAAAACAACTAAGTGTTTTGTTTTGCCATCCATCAATTTTCTTGTTCATGTGATGGGCAATTAAGACCCGTCCATAAAAAGGGGGTCAGACATCATGAAACTTTATCCAGTTTAACGAAAAATAGTATTTAGTTTGTATATATATGTATATTTGTAACGATTGTAAAACAACCAATTCATGGGTGAAGCAGAGAAATATGCGATTCCTTTAAAAATTCAGTTCCCTTTTAAGGTTCTTTAAACGAGCTTTTCGGTTGTCAATGTAAGTAGTAGAAATTGTACAATAAACATATTTCAATTGTGTATATTTACCAGTTTGCACTTCATGTCCGCAATTACTCCTTGATGTAAAAAAAAGTATATGTGAAAGTGTCTTGCAATCTTGAGTATTAAATATAAACTGTTCTATTCGTATAAATTATTCGTGATTATTATGGGCAATATCAGAGCCTGCTATTAATTGTACAATCACGAAGAAAAAGTGACATAGGGGTATTTAATATATCTTTCATTATGTATACAATTGTTAATTTCGTTTAAAATTATGTCCAGTGAATTATTCGGCTTTTTCTTTTTTGTAAAATCACTCGGTTTTATAATGAATAAGCGTAAAGACCATAAAATCATGAGATGATGCTTAGCAAGATTGATTTTTAATGCTCCAACGTCATATCATAAGTCAGAAATTTGTTGATCTAAATCAGCTCCAGACAAGAATGTCTACTTGATGTTTTAACTACTGATATACAACCGAGAAAGCTGGTACCTTCTTTCTTTTTATTTTTTATTTTTTTTTTTTTTTTACATTTACATTTAATTCGTTTACTTGGAACATTTCTTACATTCAATGTTACTTTAACACGTATCCTAACAGGTGACTGAGTCAACTCGAACAGAAGGAATACATATTACAAGCCGATGTATACATTTTTCACGACACCCTCACATCCGGAACAGAGTTTCTAAGACTGCTTTAGACCTGTATGTATATTGGACATTTCGAAAATATCATATACACCGTCTATGTACACATATGCATATATATTAACTTATAATATCGACAAATGGAAATCTTTAGAAGTGAAATTTAGTCAAGAACACGAGCGAATATCTGTGAATATCAAAGTAGGCAAATTCGCTGGAGCTGAGCGATTATATATGTATATAAGAGAAGATGAAAAAAAAAAACAACAAAGTGTAACTTGAACTGATTAGAGGAAAAGAGTGAGAGAAACGTGGAGAGAAAGGAAGAGAGAGAGAGGAAAGTAGTGAAATAGAATGGAAATGTAACAAAGGCTAATTATTAGTTGTTTAAGAGGATATTGAATAATGTTGTTCTTTATGTGTTTTATATAATATATTCATGATTTATTCGATGAAAAGGAATAAAGCGATGAAATTAAATGAAGCTTGCGTCGGGTATGTAAGAGACTTGTAAGTAAACGGAATAATAAGAAACGAATCGATATCTAAGTGATACTAGATTAAAAAGAAAATAATGCACCATTTTAAACGCTATTTAAGCTAAATTTCGTATAATATACTTGTATGAAGATACGTTCATTAACGCGCTTAAGCTTTCATTGCTGTTCCCTTATTTAATGTAACGTCATTGTATCACCGTTAATGTCTCTTGGATCACGTATATTTATCGTAATTTCTTTATTCTGTTTGCGTCATATCAAGTCGACCGCAAGCTATAAGGTTTTCGTTTCTCGTACGACCATACGTTAAGCTACGATTACATTGGCGAGTGTTAATGATATAAATATATCTGAATTGCAAGCGATAAATTATAATTGATTGCTTTTTCATTTTGCTACAAATTAATTGCTTCAGCAACGAGAATTAAATTGAGAAAACAATGTAAATATGTTTCTCTCGTGAAAGAAACTTAACTGGAGGAGAAGGTATGTCCTAACCGCTCGTTTGACTAATTTGTGATAAGATCTAGATAACATTGATAAGAATAAGTGGTAGAATTTACACGAGAATAGTGAAGCAAATTTTCCTACCAATGCCAACTACTCAATCATTTGTTTTACCAATATAATTTAAGCATAAAAGATTAATCCCTTCTGTCAGCAAACGAATAGGTGGGAATCACATCTTCCCTTACACTTCTTCTACACATTGCATTATTCTAATGCTCGCCACTGTATTCGCGGTCTCATTCGAATTGGAGCGAGCACAGAAAAGAATAAAACTAATTTGTTCCTTTTGCTTCTTGTTGGGGTGCACCGTTTGATCGCTTATTTCGCACTCTAATTTAACGGGAATCGGTTCAAGATTTCACAGATTCCATTCGTTCGAGTAGAACAAAGTCGATATTTTATATTACATTAAATAAACGAAGAGAAATGTAAGGATGATTATTCTTAGAGCGATCTGTGGTTCGAAGGTGCGTTCAATAATACCGTACGTGTCGATAACGAAGTCCTGATCGATAATCATGAAATAAATCATACTTTTTCGGTGTTTTTCTTTTTTCTCTTTTTCTTTTCTTTTTTTTTCGTTTCGGATGGGGAAACTTTTAAAGAATCTGTGCAGGGATCGGTACCGAGGATAGCAGAGACAGAGAAATTTTCGCAGCCGTCACACATTGATGTAATATTAAAATTACATGATATAAGAAAAAAACATTTGCACACATTGTACAATACCACGTGTTAATAATATAATGCGTTTTAATTATATATATATATTATATACATACATATATATATATATAATGACAGATCGAAACGATTTTTCTCTGGTGTATATACGTACATGTACATAAAACTGTGCATATATGTTTATACGCGCAGAAAAAGACACCTTTTTATATGAGAAGCTATTCGTAACAAAAATGAAGAAATACAATTTGAACTAAGAGCAAGCATAAAAGGTAAAAAAAAAAGTAAAAGAACTTTGTTTTGTGTGTAGTATGATAATAGTTGAATGAAGAACATGCGGAAAACGAATATTTTGCATTTTATTCTAGCGAAGTATGAACGGTCGATCAGATGAGCAGCAAAATGAATTTAAATGTAGGATTCATGGTGGAAGACGAGCTAGAAAAATTTCTTTCTTCTTTCACCTCAAATTTGTTTAATCCATTAATTCCTAGATGTCGAAAATATATATGTTACTTTCAAGATGGTATTTCACATTAGTAATTAACACATTTCCTGCCGTTCACTCGATATCACATGCAATAATTTCAAAAAAAAATCATCCAATTCCGCTCGTATTCCGTCACGAATTCGTAATTGACCTTTATAATCGGACAGCTAAAAAAAAAAAAAAGATGGAAGAATGATTAAATGTGTGTTACAACGGAATAGAAGTGTGCTGTAGAAGTGCGGAGAATATTTAATTAAATAAAACCCTAAAATTAGAAGAATTGGTTAATGGAACGGAGTCATAACTTACCTCAGTGTTTAATCGCGAAACGAGAAAAAGGACATTTCTTTGTATGGATGTAATCGTCATCGGTCTTGGTTCTACTGTCTAATTGTGATTTATACGATTTATGCTATTAGACAATTATATGTAAAACAGATTTTCCAACGTATCCATGCTTCATTTCATCACACGATTAATTTTATAATTGATTTACGCTCCTTTCTTCTCTTTGCATCATTAAAAAAAAAAAAGAAAGATCCATAGACACGCTCAGAAGACAAGAACCATTCTTTTTCTTCTTTTATTCATACAATTTGTATTCTTCTGAAACTTACACAAATCTTTATTATAAAAATTCTTCCTTTCTTATTTTACATTCTGAAATTCAATAATTTCAGTAGCATTCGTGGATGAAGAATGCTGAAGAAAAAGAAGTAATTTTATTTCACACGCATTTAAACTCGTTGCTCCGCTACTTAAATTGAATTCTTGTTCAATAAAATATCTAATGTTTTCATACTCCATTTTGACTCTGAGTGCTACAAGAAGTTTATGCAATTACTGTATCCATTCTTCTAAAACATTGTTCTCTCTCTCCACTCTTTTCTCGAAACACCACATCGTCTTGATCTACATATTCTTGAAACCAGTGTTATTATTAGTTTGTTTGCTTACGCACGACTTCGGCTTGAAGACGAGCCGCGAGTGCTTTGCGCACTTGCAGTATGGACGGCTCCAGGGGTTCCGGTAATTTTAGTTCTTGCTCCCCTTTTATCGTCGCTTGTGCCACTGTTCTCGCGGAACTTGGTCGGGTCGAATTCATTTCTAATCGCTGGCTTCTCGCCTCTTTTTTCAGAGCCACTAATTTGTCCCGTCTGGCTTTCAGATATGCTTGTCTCTTCTTAATATCCTCTTCTGATACCTGAAATGATTTTTATATTAATAAAAATGATACTATGTTTCATCGTAAAAATTAATTAATACATTTTGCTCTTCTGATTTGGTTTCCTCTATGGGTGACGAATCTGGAGAAGTAGCTTTCTCATCTGACTTTTCTTCTTCCTCGCCTTGTAATTCTTCTTCTTCTTTTTCTTTTGGATATGCCTCCAATTCAGGAGTACTTTCTGCTTGTGAAGCTTTCAAAGCTTCTTCTAATAGTGCTCTCTCATTATTATATTTAGCAGCCAGACGTTCGTGTTCCTTGATAAGGGATGCTTCTGATGTTATGTCATGTTCTTCCTCTGAATCATTCTCTAATACATGTTTCCTAAACGAAGGGTTTATTTTGTCATTTTCATTAAATTTTAATTATATGGATATGGAGCAACTTGATAACTTACTGAATGATCTCTTCCATTACCAAAGGATCATCGCTTGATCCATCTCTTTCATATACCAAGGATGCAGGTGTGAGGCCATACTTTTGTTCAATCATATTCAAAGCTTGCAACTGCAGTTCCAAATTTTTCTGTATCATCATCCTCTTGAAGATCTCGTACTCGTTCGCTGCCCATATCTGCTCGAACAAATTCTGAAACATAACGATGCATAATTAATATAGATTGTTCATTAATCCTTAAATTTCAACTAGTTTATTAAATCGTCGGCTCACCTGTTGGAACTGCACAGGCATTTTTGTGTACTTGTTCACGGTACAAGCGTACTCGAATTGCTCCGGAGTGATGCCCATGTCTTCCATGAAACAACCAAGCAATAAATCCACTAGATTTTTGTACTCTTGATACGTCTTTCGGTACTCCTCGTTGTCTTCGACGTCCGCCTCGAATACTGTGAAAAAAAATCAAAAGGGTATATCTGATTATCTTGAATGAACGAAAGACCAAATGATTTGATAACATTGCATTTACTGGCAAGGAGAGTTACTCTCAGATTTTAATAAATTTTTGCACTCTGATAGATCCATGTTATTACGAATCTCCCTCTATATGGTTTTTGGGTCCAAAATGTACAAGAGACTTATTAACACTTTGACAACTGCAATGTTCATCAATTCCAAAGTTCACATTGAAGTGTTAATAAGTTTTTTGATATCTGCAGTTACCGACTGAATTAAGAAGCTTTTAATTGTTAATAATTCATCTATAAATCAATAGAAATAATAAAATACAGTAGGTAAGATGTTAAGGAAGAGCTCTCCGTATGAGATCAGAATAGCATTCAAGTGCTTGAGCTTTTCATCAAGATTTTAGAAAAGGATATCATATACAATTGTATTACGCAATTACACGAACTTACTTAATGATTTCTCTTCAACGAAAGTGATCAAAGGCGTCGACCAAATAGGACCTTGAAGAAATCCTATGAGGGAATCGAATACCCATGCGCTATCGTCTCTGTCGTTCATGGCGAATGGTTCCTTTCGCGAGATTGTTAGATTCTTTTCGAATTTACTGGCAACACAGTTTCCAGCTACGTGTATCGTGTCTCCTTTTAAGCGTAGTCATAGTTACATGCGGCGAAAACATTCTGCCGTAGACTTGCGCGAACGAATGGAAGCAATACAATTACGATTTCTTGATCGCTAATAGAAAAATGATTCACAAACGAACGATGATCGATGAAACTTTGAGATAGGTGCACTGATTACACGTCCCTGATGTTCACTATCTCGTTTTTATTCAGCGATACATAAATTTCCTTTTAATTCGCTATGTAAGATTCTCTTCGTTCTGTAAGATAATACTTTATGTTACCTGTTTCTAATAAAACTGAAATGAATCTACGAAGTTTTGTGAGTCCCTAGATAAGAATAGACGATGAAAAAAAGAACGATAAATTTATATATATAATACATTATACATGTAAGACTAATTTCAGTTACGTACATCGAATATACATGGTAAAAAATTTATGAGCTACGTCTGTATATGTACAAATATGTATCATCCGATACAAGTATTCTTCTTTCATACTTCGTTACAATAGTTATTGATCCACGATAGATCAATTACAATAAAAAAAAAAAAAAGAAAAGAGGAAGAAAAATCGTTGATACATAAAGAAACAAAAAATTCTAAGATTCACTTATGTACAGTGCTTCTCCTCGTCTCTTCTAGTCTATTATAAGTAATATCAATAAATTCGTCGGGACGTTTGCAACAACGAGATACGATTCTCTATGTACAACGATGTAACCTTCGTTCTCCGATATCCCTATAATTGGAAATTGTGTTGAGAATGATTCAAGGTGTTCGTCGACATCGTGTGAGCTGGATGCGACGGAGCTGGAGTGTACAAGCTGTGATGGGAATGAGACTTCGCTCTGGAGAGCTCGCTATAGCGATCCTGTTCCGGTGGAGCGACCAAGAGGACCGGTCTCAGGGACAGGGACTTCCGTGAACCAGCTACGCTTTGAGCTTCGTTCACGTATCCTGGATTCACTTCGCCTGAAAACAAAGAAAAAATTAGAAATTTGGAAAACCTTTCAAGTATTTTCTTTTTTTATATCACACCTTTGTATAAGGAACCATTGTTAAAAGGTTCTGGCTGGAGTCTGACGTGCCTGGACGCCAAAATAAAAGCAAGAGCAGCCAAGGTGACAGCGTCTAAAGCGGCGATCGCTGCTAACGGTATCGCCCATCTAACGGCGCACGCTCCTGGATTGTATCTGCATAAGAAAATCATTTATTTACATAAGATTTCTTATTAACCAACAAAATACAATTGAATAATATGTATTTTAATCCATTTAGATTTGTTAAGATAGATATTCAGATTACAAATTGGATTCTCTTGGAATACAAAAGTCCATATTCCTTTCCTGGAATGTTTAAATTGTTACCTGGAGGCAGCTGCGCCACAAACAGCCCGAATTAACGGTGAATCCCATCCCAGTGGGTAAATGCAAACTCCAATGGCCATTGATATAGCTGGAAAAAGAATAATTATTTCTTTAAAAATTTAAACATAACTGCGCTTGGCATTTAAATGAACTATCCGCATCGCGGAGGTCGTTGAAGAGGTGAACAGTGAAAGGTACTGAGAGCAGGAATTGAACTTTTACTTTGGAATTATTTAAAATGTTCATTTAAAGATTTATAACATCTATTGCTTAGGATCAAACACCGTTTGCGGAAGTAGCGGTCGTGTTACATAGTCGGTGGTTTTCGTTTCCGATTCGCTGACCAGTACTATAATGTTCTTTTCTAGGTGAAACGTTTTCCAACCCGTATTCAGTCGATTCACGTTTCAACCAGTGACTTTCACTGTCCGCCTGCAAACAAGTTACCATCATTAGTAAATATCTTCGATCAACGACCATAATAATTCTAATTTTCATATCTCTTTGGTAATGAATCTATAAGCGAATTTCATTTTCCTAATTACTTTTTTTCAAATCTAATTACAGGTATTGAAGACAGATACTTCCTGCTACGTAAGCTTTCCCATTGTAAAAATGAAGAAACTAAAACGTCGAGCAGCCAAGCACGAATACTATACAGCGCGTAACTTGTTGCAGAACAGATCAAGCGTGTCAATGTTCTTCAAGTGGGTCAACAGTACAGAGACAGTCATTTTATAGTTACACACACATTTGGCTGTTTCAATCGATGCACCGTTACAAAAAGGCAAAACTTGGCCGCATAATTGATTTATTTTTTTGAAATAAATTTTCAAAGCGACGAAGCAATTGATAAACTAATTATAATTCTACCGAAGGCGTTGGCTAACCGGTAAATCTAACGCCTTCTAACGGTCTATTCTACATTTCTAAACAACTGTTCGTTCAAACAGAGACTTTAGCAGATTTTCTCTTCAAATTTATACTTTCTACAACGGTGCGCATGTAATTGGAGATTCAAATATCTCTGCGACCTATTCAGTACGGTATTGTTGTGCTACGCATTTCGTAAGCGGGATCCTGCGGACCGGAAACGCTTTCTAATCGCAGAAAAATGCAATTCGCGATAAAAAGCATTTCAAGCGGGTAGAATTGGGGTTACGATAGTTGATGCACAACAGCTGTATTAGAAAAATCGAAGTAGGCAAAAGTCATAGCGTTCCAAAGGGTGTCGAAGGGGTCCTCGCGACCGAGGATTTTTAGAACAGCAGGGTATTTTTATTCTGACTGTCGTCGTGTACGATTTTGCGAATTTTATAATATTTAATACGCCCGCTACTATTTAATCACCCGCTCGGTTAATCTTGAAATGAAAAAAATGATTATATTTCATTTGGAATAACGTGTACGGTGTAAAATTTAATTAACGATCAAGTTCGCCGTAACAGAGACGAAGCGACATTACATCACTTCCTGACACGATGACCCCCTCGGTGCACTATAGTAATTTTCAGCCTCATCACGATGATAACGTGTTACGTGGACGATTACAGCAATAGCCCGGCGGGAACACACCCATTCGCGTTATACTTTCGAAAGCGACGTTCAACATCGCTGCTCGGTAAATGCTCCTTTTTTAACTCGCTAATTATACAACGGAGCGATTACATCTCTTTTTAATTTATTTCAAAGCATAACATCCCGTTACGAAGATTTATCCCTGTCGTTTTCTTTATGTTTTCAGATCGTATCGGTACTTGCATTGGATTACCATTATGCAACGACCTCGGTATACATGCCTGTGTATGAAGTATAAGCGACATCCTTTCTTTCCTGTTTTAATAAAAATTCTGTTGCTTACTTTTTTTTTTAGCATACCCTTTGGCTAATAAGCTTGAAATCCTCTGCATAAAGTGTCTCAAAGTGTGATTCATAAAAATTACCTGATACCACTTGCATCCAGGCACAAAGGTAGAACACGGTTGTACTCTGACAGAAGAAGAACAGGAGCATCGCGAAGATTGTCAATAGAGCGATTATCACAGCGATGCCGACTAGAATGGTGCTTACTCTGAAAGGAACGTTAGCGATCGTCGATAAATCGTCCAGTCTGCCGATACATTCTTCGCCCAATTCACCTGATAAACAGAAATGAATTATCCCTGTTAAAGAAATTGATTGAAATACTCGATACCGAGAGAAAATGATCATCACCATTTCCACCGTAGCTGCATCTGGTCCAGAGTCCAAATCTTCCAGGGTTCTCGTGCTCCAAATCGCCCAACCATTCTGGGGTTACAAAGGCCACGACCCCGATAATGGCGTAGCATATGGTAAAAATACCCCATAGAACGCCGATCGCCTTCGAATTCCGAATATAATTCGTCGCGTACATATGAGATGATTCCACGTACTCTATCTTCGATCCCATCTTGCTGATGTTCAAACAGAAAATTATTATTATCGTTGATCAATCTACAACACAAAATTACGTAAATAATGAATATCAGACACAGGTTGTTAATAGCGAAACCTCGGAACAAAGAACAACTTTCGCTTAGCAATAGTCGAGAGAAAAATCCTTCTTCGCGCCTTAATGATTTGCCTGAGGAAAATCAATTCCGGGTTCATAGATCGCTTAGCGATTCTTCGAACCGTCAAAGAAACATTGATTATAGTAAATCAAGGAACACTTACTACGTTTGAGAATTGATGTTTCTCAATACAATTTCCACATCACCGATCCTGCGATTTCTTGTCGAGCGCAAAGGCGTTTTGTTTCTCACATTAAATCCCAAGCACCGCCCGTGACATTTACATAGGAACGTTCACCGATCGGTTAAGAAGGTGCAGCTTTTCTTTCGTACCGGACGATCTATCGATCAGAAGGTAACAAAACGCAGATTGTATTACTCGCATTCTTCTCGTTTTCCCGCAGGAGGGGGCTAACTCGATCGAACAGTTGTTTTTTTTTTCTTACTCAGCTTACATAGATCGGAAACAAATCATCGACACTGACATAAATATTGTCGAAAGATTTGGAAATATTGCAGGAGCGAGATAAAATGTGCTGATCGATGCAACGGATTGTAAACAGCGCTCGAAATCAACGCACGTTTCGCTCGTGCAATTTTGGGTCACGTACGATATTAAAAACGAAACCGGCTCGTTTCCTAATCGGGACTGGATTAAGAATCGCACTTGTAGTGATTTTTAATCGTATTATGAAGGAATCATGAAAAAGTTCAAGAAATTGTACCTTCTTTTCTTCCCCTAACTGGTCAAACTTTTTTTCAGACCACTTCCGAGGACATCCGTGTCACAGTGAAGATCCTCCAACTCCGCAAGATGAAACTTTGCCCAACTTTCAGCAGCACAAAATACTTTTCACGAAACGTGCTTGATACACAAGCTTCGGATAGAAGCGAAAGAAACGAACTCACACCGCACACGTAAGAGAGGAATAATCACGAAAGAACCGGGAACCGCGAAAACGCAGCTCGTGAGATACAGTGGTCAGTCCGTTGTATCGGTTTGCATAGCATCTGTTGGCTACGAGTCGACGCGGCTGATCACCTCAACGAATGGAAAATACGACTTAAAGAGGACAAGATGCGATAGCACGGCGTGTACCTTAACATGGCTGTTCAGGTGAGTTGAAGTTGCCAGGTAAGTAGGAAAGAAGAAACGAAGAGAGAGAAAGAGACGGGGACTGTGAATGGGGCCTCTTACGGATCCTGGGCTCGAGAGAAAGGCGACGTCGTCAAGGAACACGAAAAGGTGGGGATGTCGAATGGTACAGTGTGCAATGCAAGTATCACTTTTGTGGACTTTTCTTCTGGTTAAACTTCACAAAGAATTGAATTCGGAAATAGGAAGATGATAAAAAATATAGAAATTTTATAAAGTACTTTATTCCCTTACTCGACTTCTCATAGATGGATGTGCTTTTAAAGCTTTACATTTAAAAAATCTAACGAAATTGCATATTATAATTGTGAATAGATTCTGTTCATTTGGTTAAATATATGTTAGGAAGGAATAGAGTTGGGTTTAACGAAGTTAACTTTTATTGAGTACAGCATTCTGCATAGTTTTCCGGTGACGCGTTGACAATGCTGACTGTAGGTTTCAATTTTATCACGTTCCCTTTTATGTATGATGCAAATCTTATTTTTACACGATCTAAAAGAACGCACATACAGTAAAGGTGATGATTGTTTTACAGATATAGGTGTAATATACATCTGAATACAGTTAGGAAGGTGTTAGAACTACGTCGAGTGAATTGTAATGAATATCTGTTAGTTCGCAAATTTTTAGAAATCTGTGAGATGTTGCTATAATGCTTGAATTAGTATGCGAACACATGTTTCCTAGAAATGGCCCAGCTTTACTTCCGAATAAATTCTACTTTCCTTGCTCCGATTTCTACATTTTTGAAAGTTCAATTTACCAAGAAGCTGTCATTAGTTACGATTTTGACCTAAATAGAGTAGTCTTGTCCTTCCAGTAATTTCAATTAATACTGCAATTCTATACCTGTTTTTTATATAAATATTTAGATTTATATTTGTTTTTCTAGCTTGAATAAAAGCAAAATATCTTATAAAACAGATATTTTAATGCCATCTACAGATACCAACACAGTTGTATGCATAAACTTGTATTTTGAAAAGACCGCCATTAAAGATTTTTAAAATTCTACCGCAGCGCCATCTATACAAAAACGGCGGAAACTACTCAACAAGTTACCAACTGACTTGCCGACTAGTTTCCGTCATTTTCGTATAGATGGCACTATAGAATTTTGAAAATATTTAATTTGTAGCGATCTTTTTAAAATATAATTATTTCTTTTTATGAGCAATTTAATTTTGCAATTAATTGATAATTAATCTGTTATTAATCTGTTATTACTGTCAACTTGTGTTAGACTTTTGTAGTACGAAGTGTTTGAATCTGTAAGTAGTGGTAGTAATTGCTTAACGCGTCTTGACGCGTCTTAAACATGGCAAATCGCACAGTAAAAGATGCGAAATCTATTCGAGGTACAAATCCTCAATACCTAGTAGAGAAAATAATTAGATCCCGAGTATATGATTCTAAGTATTGGAAGGAAGAATGTTTTGCCTTGACTGCAGAACTTTTAGTCGACAAAGCTATGGAATTAAGGTTAGGAAATATTCATTGTATTTATATTTTAATCTAAACAGGTTGTTGTTTTAACACTTTAACTTATTATTTATGTTTATATACTGTCTGCGTCATCAATTTCTTATGAGTATATGTGTTAAATTTCGTAAATGATCTTTTTCAAAATATAACCTCTTCCTAACATAAACAAACGGATTTATTTATTTCTAAAAGATATATCATGTTTTAGGTTCATAGGCGGTGTATACGGAGGAAATGTAAAGCCCACACCATTCCTTTGCCTCATATTAAAAATGCTGCAAATACAACCTGAGAAAGACATTATAGTAGAATTTATAAAAAATGAAGAATTTAAATATGTTCGTGCTCTTGGTGCATTATACATGAGATTAACAGGATCATCTCTAGACTGCTATAAATATTTAGAACCATTGTTCAATGACAACAGAAAATTGAGGAGACAAAATAAGGAAGGTAAATTTGAATTGATTCACATGGATGAATTTATAGATGATCTTCTAAGGGAAGAAAGGTGCTGCGATGTTATTTTACCAAGAATACAGAAGAGACATGTTCTTGAAGAAAATAATGAACTAGGTAAGTTCTTTACCTTTATAAGTCTCATCTTTTCAAAAGATAAATGAAACATTTAAGTTTGTGTAACAGAGGCCAAAGTGTCGGCGTTAGAAGATGACATGGATGAAGGAATAGAATCTTCAGAGGATGAAGATGTACCTCCAGTTAAAGAAGATACGCGAAAGAGAACGGACGATCACGACAGAGATAGAGATCGTCACAGGGATAGGGACAAGAGACACTCGCGTTCTGATAAGAAATCTGATAGAGAAAAACAAAGATCGAGAAGCAGAGACAGGGATAGAGACAGAGATAGACGAGAACGTAAACGGAGTAAGTCGCCAAAAAGTTATTCCTCGTCGCATAAAGATAAAGACAGAGATAAGGACCGACATAGAAGAGACGACAGGGATAGAGACAGAGATCGAGATCGAGATCGAAGACGAGAACGCGACAGAGCTAGACACTGAACACTGCAATTTAACAAACTATGTACAGAAGGTAAATATTAACTTTTATAATTATCAGGTGAATAAAAAATGTATAGTGGTACAAGTCTTGAATTTTTTTTTATTGTGTGTACCGCGTGTCGATCATAACAGCAGTGTATAACATTTACAGAGAATAGTTTCATATTAAAATTATAGCATTTATCAATAAAAACGCTACACAGTAGCTCATAATACCCGTACGTTACATGTAAGTGATAATATTTCTTTCGCTAACATTATATTATACGTTCCTTCTTGAACCATTTTTTATTTTCAGTTTAACAGGATTATGAAATGGCCGCTGTTTTTATGGTTATATACAAAACATTAAAAAAAAATTTATCACTGTTACTGTTGAAGAATTATTTTCGAGATGCGATATATTTTTTAAATAATACAAACAGATATTTTTTAATGTCTTTTTCAACGATACAGTGATAAATTTTCTCAAGCACCATATAATAAAATAAGTAGGGAATATCATAGCCTGCCTATAAATGTAATCCACATGATTACACGTATAATGTCTTTAAATATATACATTTTCACATATGTACCTTATTTCACAGTGTTTTTTGTAATTAAAAATAGTGAGCAAAGTATAGTATTAATATACGAGGAACGTATCCATCTCTGATACACTGTCTTTCATATTAACAATATTTTATCAGATCGATATAAACCGTCACTGAAGAACGCACTCCATATTTCCGTGTTATATCCATCAAATTTAAAACGTAGGCGAATTTAAAATAAATAATCTCTCCTCTTCTTTTTTTATCCATTTCAATAATTTATTTACCGCTTCGATGGCATCAAGTTTTGTTACAAGTGGTTCAAATGTAACGTACAGTTCGAAACCTACTGTTACCTAAACAGACGAACAAAAGTTAGTTAAATATAATCGTATCTAATACTTGTCATTAGGTGTGTTAGCTTACCCATGCCAACATGGTCTCTTTATCTAACTGTTGGAATATAAGTTTTAGTGGTCTATTGGGAGCATGTAGCCGGTGATGTAAACATTGATAAAGACCCAATAATCTATAGGGAAAGAAAAGTAGGTACATGATATAAAATGTTTTTCCTTTATCTAAAAGTATTATTATGATTACCGTTCGATTTCTTCATCTGTTGTATATGGGGGTTGGAGGCCGGGACTCCAAAATTGTGCTGTACTTCTACACTTGTACAAAACGTGCCGCATTTCTGGCAGTCCAATGTCAGCTGTTGTAATTGGTGATTTATTCATGGATTCGTTAATTGCTTCTAAACAATTTGTTCGTCTTAATTTCTCAACAATTTTCTGGAAGCAAAATCATTTATTATCACTAATATCAGCATCTTTGGGAGCTTAATGAACCTCTCTATTAAATTACTGACTTGTTTTGCTTCAGATAGAATATAAAATACATCTCTGTCAACTGTAAGGAGCAATAAGCATGCTTGGCAATCTTCAGCCAAATATGATACATGTCCATGCATATAACCATTGGCATCAAACTTTGGTAAACATATTGGTGTCCAGCTTTCGGCAGTTTTAAGGGATTCTGAACTGTCCACCAAATTTTGTATTATATGTAAATCCGCGGGATGTAAAAAAAATTTGTTCATTCTGACCAATGTTACCAACTGGTTATTAGCTAAAAGTATTGCAAATACTAAATTCTGAAAAATATCATATTTGTGTGATTAATACAAGTTACAGAAAGTAATACTTTGAATACATTTCAGAAACATATTTACCTTGATTTTACCACATGTTTGAATAATAGTCTGTGTGATAGAACTTCTCATTGAAGGAAGTAAAGGTAAACATTTGATGGCTCCTAGAAAAAATGCTGGTTCTCTATCCATAAAATTTAATAAGTGATCTATCAGTCTTTCACTACCAGTTAACAATCTTCTTAAGTCAAAGTTTCTACGTTGATCATATACTCTAGTTAGTTGTGATTGTGTTAACACTGATACTATTTGATTATATACATATCTATAAGTGAAAAAAAAAGTATAAGTTATATGTTCAAGAATAATGTATAGCTGTTCCATTTAAATGTACATACGTTAATTGCAATGTAAGTTGAGGTACACTTTCAAGTGTTTTTGAAACTGCAACTAAAATCAATGGACCTTTTACAACAAATACAAAATTAGTATCTCCTGCATGAACAGATCTGATCATGTCACTGCCTGCTTGGACAAATGAAACTAGAGCCTGCATGACACCCATAACTGTGACTAGTTTGTCTTCTGAACTATATCTAGAGTATATGGGTTTTCCTGCTTGGCTTAAAATAAATATGTGTTTCCTTTGAGCCAACCAAGCTTTGCAACGTAAAGGATCAGAGTCTATATTGGTATGACCTAATCGATGTGTAACATCCTCCTGAAATATGAAAACAGATGTTTTTAAATGATATTAATTTCAGGTAATTGCTAAAAGGTATTTATAATGATTCTTTGAGAAGAGGTTATAAAACGTACTAATTCGGAATCATCAAGAGAAGTTGTTTTCTGAAGTTCTCGTGGACTGGATGCGGTAGGTGTTGCTGGAATGTCTTGTACGTCTTCTTGAATTTCTGAAATAGTGCTTGTTGTACTTTCTTTCATTTGCCTATCATCAATACTACTGCTCATCTCTTGTTCATATTCTTCAAAACTATCTGTTGTTACAAGCATTGTTTCTGCCGAAGCACCTGGTTCAATCCCAGGCTCCGGGATACCATCCTCTATGGTAGCAGGCTCTTTCGTAGCCATATTTATAATCGAAACACTTCTAACGTGTCACTATTTTGAAATTTTCTCTTCCGATTGACATTTAATACCGAGCCATGACGGATTGGTCGCCATTGTTAAATCCGGCTTATTTGGCAGAAACTTTACAGACTAAAAATCAGTGCTACCATTTTTATCAAAATCACTAGCCTGTACAGTTTTTTAAAAAGCAAGTATGATAGTTTGAAACTTTACATTCACATAAAAGCGAAATATGTATTTGTACGATAATTTTAAGGTATTTCAAGGATAAAGTATACTACACCGTTTCATCTTGGAAGTATTTATTTCATTTTGTAACAATACAGAATCTAAAAATAACGGTTTTAAGGAAGCAAAAACTGCTGTGTGTTAAAAACTATGTGGCTATCAAATGCACATTTTTGTGATGCCCTCGTTTAAAACAGAAACCACCAAGTGACGTCTAACCGCATGAATATCCGCTAGGAAATAATGATAGTCATATGCAGCCGATTATTATCATACATAGCTAAGCTACACATAAATTGCCAGTTTGATTTGCGCAGCCTACATTATCGTGATTTCAATAATATTCTGTGCGGAAGTATACGCCCATTACACACCGACTGATCGATGAATGTGAATCAAAAGATCCGCCCATTAGCAACTAGACTAGTTTACACACATATGAGATTCTCAATTTATACAATATTCCCTTCCTTTTTCTTTTCTTAAAAATATTGATAACAATTACTGAGATTCGACGTTTACGACGCTTACGGCGCGTTTCTGAAATAAAGCCACTTTAAGCGGTGAGGATTTATTGATAAAATTCATCGAAGTCGGTGTGCTTTCAACTCTAGTCTTTCGCGATGTCGTTGAAGCTCCCATTGATTACTGCGAAACCATTATCTCATATTCAGGGAAGGCGACCTCGGCACCGCCGTATGCTATGTAGCAGACACTGTGAGAAGGTTGCACTTTGCCGATTGTCAGAGTACCCTCGTGATTAACACGACCGACATAAAGTGCTTCTCCATCCTCGGTTTCACCGCCTGGGATTGCGTTAGGAGGAATCTGGTTTCCACTCGTCGGCACCCACATCGGTTTGCAACCGCAAAGAACCTAATATAAAAGGTAAATACAATTCATTATAATATTTCAGATAAAATATGTATCGCAATGCTTCTTTACTATAAAATCATTACATACCTGGTAATCAGTTTTACCGTGTTCACCACCACCCCAGGCGACATAACAGACAGAGTGTCCTGGCTTCACCTTACCAGGCAAAAGAGCACCCTCGTGGTAAGCTCTGCCCACGTACAATGTTTCTTCGTCTCTTCCTCCTTCCACTGCACCTGGGGGCAGCATGCCACCTGTCGCGTCACACCAGCAAACTTCTCCCAATTCCAATCCTTGCACAGGTGGAGGTGGAGCAGATGGGTTCACATCTACAAACAGGTGAAAGAGACATTAATCATAGGGGCTAAGAAAGATTATTTTCTCTGTTATTTCTTGAATAAAAAGACGTTCATCTTCATGCTACGCGTATAGTCACAAGAAAAAGGACCGTGTATGATTCAATGATAGTTATTAAATGTGAACGTTCTATGGATTTTCTTCGAGAACGACTTCCCTGGTATTTCGAAGGAGATTACATGGAAAGTTACGAATCGATAGAATGAATCATGAGTAATAATGTTTAAAATAGCGAAGAGAAGGTTGCGATAGGGAGTGGAAACCGATTGGAAGGGAAGGCATTTGAAAAACGATGTGTCTGCAGGAGATAGCGACGCGTTGTGACCTCGACATATTTGCTGCAACACACATGCTACTGTTAAAACATTCCATGTGACTCGTAATAAACACACGTAACACCCGTACAATATGCAAACGGTTAATAATGCCACGCTCAAATCCGAGTATATATCATTAGGTCATTGCATATCAAACGGACGGTATAAAGATATTTTCATAAAACTTTAAGTTTAAAATTTATATATCACAATTGTTATTTTGAATGATCAGATATGCAACGATCTAATACATATTTTCGACTGAATTATATCCTCTGGTAAATGCTTCCAGGTTACGCTCGCGCCCAAGCGAGGTCAATTTAATCGTTTAACGAGCCCGAGATCCGTCAAAGAAGCAGAGAAGACAAGCTACGTGCTCGTAAAACCAAGATTGCAAGTGTAATTCAATGTACTTCCTTGTGAAACAATTAGCGGCACCCGTTACCCAGATCCTTAAACACCCAGTAACAAACTACTTCGATCCTATTCTTTCTTAAATTTTCAGTTATCCAACCCAATTAGTAATGAATCACTCTTTGTGATAAATTCAGAACATTAGCTTCAACGCGTTGTTCGCTAATCCTTATGTGTTAAACAAATAGAAAAAAAAAAGAGAGAGAAATTACGTTTAGAAGTGTCAGCTGAACGGGGTGGATATTGTGCAGTTCGAATCTTCCACTTGCCGGTTGCACCCCAACCGGTACGCACGCCCATATAACTCACGCCAAATGGCTTTGGATCCTGCCATTCCATGATCTTAGAACCGTTTAGATCACCAGCCCTGACCGTGATAAGGCCGTCAAGCCATGTGATCACGAACTTCTTCGTTTCGTTCTCGTTCAGCAGGTTTGGCGTGTTCACGCGCACCTGTCGGTGCAAAATCAGCTTTTTAACAGGTGTACACAGCCAACCGGAAACTCGAAATCATTTCAAAACATGATAATCAGGAAACGACTTCGGGTTTCGTTCGTATCGAACCTTGTCGGGCTGTTTGCGATCGTATCTGACGACGGACGCGGTGTTCTCCCAACCGCCGAGCAAGATTTCGTACATCGGACTCGAGTCGCCTTTCTTGTTGGTCAGGGCAACGTGCGCGTTGCTCTTGGCCCTGACTTCAATGAAAACTGAACCGCCTCTTACGTTACGAAACTGGTAGACTAACTCGTTCCGGGTCGACAGGGTGCCGTGTCCTTGTGTGTAAATCAAACAAATTTCAATCTATCGCTTCTTGAAATTATTTAACAATTCTATCCGTGTATATCTGATAATTTCAACTTCTCTGGCTTCGACGAATAAACTTTACCCTGATTATAATTCAAGGTATAACGTTTCAAGTGTAAGCAGAGATTTATACAATCATGGATAACAAGCAGGATCGCGTTAAAGCAAAGACAAGCGTGTCTATATGTGGTCTGAAGTACGTTTTTCTCGTGCAGGTACCCCTTGAAAACGTGCTAGGATCAAATCAGAAACTAAAAGACTTAAACTGGATGCAACTACGCTTTTCTCAAGCTTCATATACTCTTTACGTACAACGATTTTGACCACCGACACATATGGCTGTGGACGACGACTCATTAATACAGTGGCCCCTCAGAAACCAGATATAAAATAACATAGGAAGAAAATCGTGTTAATAAATTGAGAACTTCCACCTGAGATTTCATCGAACAGGTATTTACATTATGTAAAATTAAGTTGAAATCTACTATCATTCGCTATTCTATTGAATATTGCCTAAAATTTCTATGCTATTACGTTCGACATTCGAATTAACATGGAGTCTAAGAAGGGTGTGCAATATAGAATGAAATGTTACCTTCGATCAGCCATTCGCCGGACGCACCCCAACCGGTGCACACTCCAAAGTAACCGATTCCAAATGGTTCCGGATCGGCATAAGTGAGGAACGAGCTCGGTTCGCCTTCTTTACCCACTGACACGACACCATCGCTCCATCTAAAACGATCGGAGCAACCAACAGCATTAAAAATAATTACTTACCCCTAAAAATATGCAATCAGAACGAAAGATTCACCTAATCCAAAATCCACGATACTCGTCACCACTCAAAATACCGGGTGTCTCGACTTCAGCCACATCAGGTTTGCTTCTATTTTTACGGATCACGGACTTGCCGTTGCTCCAACCGCCAATGAATACCTGAACGAATTTATAACAATTTCTTCTTACTCGTTCTTTTGTACAATTTATATTCAACAATGTTAAGTCAATCTCACCTCGTACATCGGTTCTCCCTCGTGGGGACCGGTGGTGAGAGCAACGTGAGCATCGTTGGCTGCTTTCACCCGAAATTGGATTTGTCCGCTAGCAACGGGGTAGAAGTGGTATTCCAATTTGTCTTCGGTGGAGAGTGCTGGAAGCATGAACGATACATAATTAATAAAACGATCTTTTTTGTAAAGCAACGCGGGGCTTATTAACACTAGATTGCCAATGAGTCAATTTGACTCATTTACAATTTTATCATTCAAATCCTATTTTGGCGGATCTATTTGTCCGGCAATCTAGTGTTAATAACGCAATCGTAATGAAAATAGTTGCTTAGAGTTCCACGAAGATTTATAACAGAAGAACGTGGTAACGGATTCGCAATTATAGCGAGTACATTGATCGAACCGAGTCCTGCATTGCCCTACTTTCTTTAGCTACCAAGGATATCCCGGCGTCCAGACGTCTGGGCGTTCAAGCTGGCCGACGATTCTATTTTTCATGAACTACCTTGAATACATATTCTGAACAGTGAAGATAATTTGGAAATACGTGTTAATTAATTCTACCAGCTCGTACCAAGAGTGAAAGGGTGTCGGGGGCCCAGACGGGGGAGGGATTTTAATGGGTATGGTGAGTCCCACTCTGCAAATGTATTTCTTTTCCGGCAAACAAAAAAAAAAAAACCTCGTACCCAAGAGTACCTATAACGCTTTGTATAAAAAAAAGTTACGTGTACACATGCCGGTTGCTTTATCCTCTGTGTAAATTACGCTAGTTTTTATAGACTCGCACACCTGCTCGTCTTTACAGAGAGCGGCTCTAACAAACAGCTTGCGCCTTCGTTAAAAAGCATTTTGGAATTTGCCAGATCCTTCGAGCTGATCACCTTTGTAAATATCAATCACGTGCCTTTCTGTCAAGATTAACTGAAGAAACAGAAATGATAAAACTAACACGTTTGTTGGACCGATGACTCAAACTTGAAGAATTTTGTTTTATATTATTATTGCTCTGTAAAATATTTACCTGGAAGCCTAAGCAACGATAGCAACTGGTAGCCTAAATCAGCGTAGATCAACGCTAATACGGTTGTTTGTAATAAAAGATTCCGCGAGAATATAACTCGCGAATGCATGTACATTTTATCCTCATCAAAGTCCATTGATACGAGTTATTATGTACAAGAAATTTCATTTGACATTGAACGGTTTATGCACAACGAAATCAATTAACGATTTTTCATCAGGCTTGACAGAACAAACAAGCATCAAGTAAGTATTGAATTTCAAAATTCCATGTATCACGTGTCACTATTGAATTCACTTTTAAAAAAAAATTGTGAAATTTCGTCCCGTTACCGTCTTATGGTAATATCGATAAGTAAGAAAGCTGTTATGTCTTCCTATTGTATTCTCGTGAAAATATTAACAATCATTAGAACGATCGATGTGCGAAAGGATTGTTGCTTTTTCACTTACTGTCTCTGTCAAAGCAGTTTCGAATCTATGCGCAAGGTTACGTCGAAGGAACGCAACGGTTATAAATAGTTGCTTGTGTCACGGAAGAGACCTCGTTAGTTGCTGACGTCATCGATAAATGAACGATAAATCGTCAGCAATTCGGGAGTCAGTGATTCGACTTTTTTCTTCGACGAACGTATAAATGCTAAGGAATAGCAGTATCCGAAGAAATGGATAAGCGAAAGAATTAAGTATGACGTCGAGCTGATGTCATTAGTATTTCGATACCGGTTACTTCGCATTACGGTACCTTGATGATTCAAAGTGACTGGCATGATGAACTTTCATACTGTGAGATTAGTCGGTCAAAGAGCCACCTCCACTTTCGTCGATATCTACTGATATAGAAGAAATTAGAAAGTTGCGTGTCTGTGGATCGCAATATACAACTATCTGAAACATTAACAAACTTTTTTTACTTACTTCGGCTATTACTTTGAATAAACATTAAGAATGATACGTGACGTTCTTTAGGATCTCTTTCGCATGACAAATTCATTAGACTACATCCTATATCATTGAAGAAGCGTTACGATTGCAATTAACATAACAATGCGAAAATTAGACTCATTCAACCTATTTCCATTGCATAATGTTGATCGCCGGTTGATTCCCTCCTTTCGCTATAACCTCATTAACACAATCCTCGAACCTGCTTCGACAAATACAGGGTGTTAGAAAGAGTGTTAGTCCTTTAAAAGGGTGGTAGCTGGGTTGATTTTGAACAACATTTTCCTTTGCAAAAATGTTGTCTGAAGTTTCGTTTTTGAATTATTAAGGGAAAAACATTGGCCAATCAGAGCGCGCATAGCGCGCGGGCTCAGGGACGGTAGCATCGACTACGAAAACTGGGCTTGACTTGAGTCCCAAGCGTATAACCTTTTTTAATCGTTTTTTAACTACAGATTATATCGTGTTGTAGGAATATGTGCAACGAGCGTTAAAAGTCATACCTATAATGAAATTACTCATGCCTAATAAATTCCTGTGAATTATTTGCAACATACTCAACTGCCAATAGATACCAACACCTAGGAAGTCACATGTCTGATGCACCTAACCGTGTCTGTCCCGCTGTCATTGACCTCGCATGGTAACTGTCTTTTTCCAGTAAGGTGCATTACGATACCGAGGAAGAATGAGACACGGAACGTGATCTAGGCCAGTATCGTGACTGGTTTATCAACTCCTATACATTTTCCTTGTTCAATCGCGAAAACGGATTTCAAAAATGTACGCACACTGGCATAATTAGAATGTTTCGAATGGAAGATAGCAATCTTGAGACAATGTCTGAAAATGAACGTGGCAAACTCCGGTCGCGAAAGGTTAAAATTCACTTGACCGTAATTAACGAACGTAGTTACGACACAGATTCCAGAATGAAGGCGAGAGATTCCCTCGGTTTCCAGGAAATAGCGAATATGCGGCTTGCGAAACGATCTAAAAGTCGTTGTTATACCGTGAAATCCTGCTAAGATGACGTGATAGTGGAATCTTGAAAATTAAGCGATTCAGAACAACACTATTAATCTTTTTTCAAGAGGCGTAGTTATATAAATTCGTGAAATCGTGTTGCTAAGAAAGCCGGCCGGCTTGTCAAACCTGTACAACCGCACCCGTGTACTATATTTAGCTAGGCAGTAGGAAAGAAACTATATTCGAAAGCATTCTCGAGTAAATAAATACAGACTCTTTTACCAATATCAATCGTCGATAAATTTAAAATGTTAATCTTGACTGCTTCGATCGATGTTTTCCCTAACTGGATATTCTAAAAACGGAGAAAAAAAGAAACAACAGAATTGTGATAAATTATGTAGAATAAAATAAAGATTGCAGGTTTCGGGTCACGCTCAACCTATTTGTAAAAGATATTATTCATGCTTATAAATATAGACACAATTCCAAGTGACGGGAGAAATGTTTAGCTACGTTTCTCAGTAAAAATATTACCTATTGTAATGACTCAATGGCAAAAAACTTATTTATGGAAAACAAATCCCTGTGTGGGTATGTTTTTTTACCTTCTGCGCAGTAATTACTACGCAATTCGTAATCGCGCGGTATAACATTGATATCGATAAGTATTGATATCAAACTCGTTCGATAGTTAACATTAAAATTCGAATTTGACGTGGTACTGAACACATCATTACGTTTTTATAATATTTGAATCGAATCTAATTTCGTACATATACTGTTAATATGTACAAAACATTTATATTGAAACGATACTTTTTGAGTATACTAACCAGAAACTTACTAAAATAAATATTTCATCAGAAGACACATGAAAAATATCATTTTTTATCGAAAGCGTTTGATAAACTAGTAATCGAAATATATACTTACAAATAGCCATGATTTCCTTTTTCGGCGACTGTGAATAAAACTCGTGACAAGCGAAAAAACCGACACACTCGCTTCGAAAGTTCAATTCGTACTGCGGTGAAACGTCGTGTTCTTTGAAGCTTAGGACGGTTGTTCACACATGCGCTCTAGACATCCTGCAAATGCAACGCCGCGCCGGTACTTTGTAGACGATAATTAAGTAAAGGGAATGAGTCATAAATTATTGATGAATATTCATTTTCAGATATGAAAAACCTAACAGAATTTTTTGGAATCAGTTCAGGTTTGTCCCTGTTGAAAAAAACAGTATATTTAGACCAAGTAATAAAATGTAATCTAAAATAATAAAATGTAGTATGACTCACGTTATTCTAATTCTTTAATCATTATTTTGAACAGATGTAGATTACTATAACTTATGCATTGATAACACAAATGGTATTTAACATTCTTTAAAGCTGAATTCATTAATATATTTCCAATAAACAATGTCCAATTTACATCCAATCAGGTCCTGACTAATATGCTTCTATCCTCTATTCTTCCTTTTTCTTCAATAAACCAATAGAATTTCCAACCTCAAAAATGTTTAAGTTAAAAAAAAATCAAAATTACCAAATGTATGCATACTATGTACATATGTGTAACACTTTCAACTGAGTCGATTTTCATTACGTATAACTTCAGCAAATGTAATTTCAGATATTCATGGTTTCTGTGACCTCGTTAAACAATAATAAGTTACCACGTAACAATGATCGTAATGAATCACTCAGAATGTGTAGGCGTCGTTTACAATGGATTGTATTACCGTTTTAGATTAACCACAAAATTGTCTGTAAAGTGTATCTCGTCTACAAAAAGTGATAATTAAATATTTCTTTCATAAGATTTTACAAAAAACTTACCTATATAACTAAACTAAATGAAGTACTATATAAATTTTATCTTTCATTTAAAATAAGCTATCGCCTAATACCATTTTCTGTCTTACTTCTGGGAGACATTAGAGCTCTCTTTTACCATTTTTATGTCACATCCTAACATACCGACTGTGATTGATATTTTATCACAGTGCTTCTGGTGGTAGAAATTAGTAACAAAAACAAAATTGTTTAATAAATTTAACTTCAATTACTTTGGAAAATAAATCATTTTAGAAAAGCAATAAATCAGTTAAAGAACCGAAGAGTATTTGTAACGGTTATTATTGTATAACGTTCAATAACTATTTAATAAAAACACAATAATTACTTTTTAATATTGTATAAAAATTGAATAAATTTCAAGGAAATTTCAAAGAAATTTACTGGATATCCATGTATAAAAGTTATAAAAATAATATATTTCAATAGATATAACAATAATTTAATTAACAAACAATTGTAAAATTAAAAATAGTCATTAAATAAATTTTAATAAAATAATCAAATAAAATTTCGCAATATATCCATGTGAAAATTAAAGAAATAAATAATTTAAATAGATATAACAATAATTTGATTAATAAACAATTGTAAAATTAAAAATAGTAATTAAATAAATTTTAATAAAATAATCAAACAAAATTTCGCAATATACCCACGCGAAAATGTAAAGAAATAAACAATTTAAATAGATATAACAATAACTTGATTAATAAACAATTGTAAAATATAAAGTAATAATTAAACAAATATTAACAAATATTAGATAGAAATAGTTAAATGTAACTAGCCGCGGAACCGGTGAAGCGGAACGTCATGCTTGATTGGCTGCGCCGCTACCCAATTGTCAACACCTTGACGAAGAGCGACCTAGAGAGGGGTTAAATCTAGTCAGTCTTATCGCGACCGCTGAAGGATACGGATGGATCTGTCAAACATATACCGGTACGGGTTGATACCATGGATATTTGTGCATGGATTTATCAGTGTATTACCACAAGTGTTACTGTGTTTGCCTATAGTGTTTCCTATAGTGTTTCCCATGTGTTTTGGAATATTTATACGGATATATTAGTTCGTTTTATGGTGTGGAACCCCATGTACCTGCATGTGCTTTATTGTGTTTTATGGTGCGGTTCCCTATGTGCTTTGACATATTTTTACGGATTTATTAGTGGGTTTTATGGAGTGGTACCCTATGTGTTTTGGCATATTTATACGGATTCATTAGTGGGTTTTATGGAGTAGTACCCTATGTGTGTTGGCATATTTATACGAATTTATTAGTGGGTTTTATGGAGTAGTACCCTATGTGTTTTAGTATATATATACGAATTTATTAGTAGGCTTTATGGAGTGGTACCATATGTGTTTTACTACAATTTCCCAAATATTTTATGGTGTTCTATGGTTTTGATTTTCATGTGTTTTGGGATGTATTTATTTGCATGTGTTTTACCGTATTTTATGATGTAGTTATTCCTATATAGTTTTGCATGCATATTTTTAAATTATAGTATGTATTAGCATATTAACTACAACAAATTGAGAGAAAACATATATCGTTCAAGAATCGTGATTTTTATGCTTCCAGATGAGTGCTTTGGCCAGTGGGGTTACCGTTTCTTTGACGAGCCAACAGTCGAGCTTTGAATCAATCTAAGATGCGTGGCGAGTGCAGTGGTGCAAGTCAACGATCGGTGAGTCGCATGCTTTAAAGTTCCTCCGGTTCCCATCATGTCGTAGGACGAATGGTCCGTAGCGACACGGGAATTGGTTGTAATTT